CTTATTCATCAAGTAATCGTTGAGATGTTTACGAAAAGTGTTTCTAGACCCTTTGTTTTTGATTTCATCGGGAAGTTCATTCCATAATCGGGTTCCTACACAAGTTACTGAAAATTTGCCTTGTGTTGTTTTATACAGTGGTATACGTAGATGGCCCTTTTCTCTTTTTCTTGTATTGTATCTATGCTCAATTTTATCACAATAATCCGTCAAACAGTGAGGTAAATTATTATGTACTAGGTCATACATAAATGTACATAGAGACAACTCATAGAACTTGTTAATATCTAAGATTTTCAATTCGTAAAACAATGGTGCTGAACGACTCATAAAATGGCTAAATGTGATTGTCCGTATGGCCATCTTCTGTGTATACAGTATGCAATTTAAGTGAGACTTGTAAGTGCTCCCCCACACTTCAATTCCGTATGATATATGAGGTTGAATAAAGGTTTTATACAACAACACTAGGATATTTCTAGGCACAAAATGCCGTAAGCGGAAGAGGATTCCTACTTTTTGTCTGATGCATTTATTAACCATTTGTATGTGGGGTTTCCAAGTCAAGTGTTTATCAATCTTTATCCCAACAAAGAGCGAAGAATCAACTTCTATTATTTCAGCCTCTGATATAGCCAGTTGCCCTTGAACATTAATCTGCCGTCTCTGGTTTCTTATTAGCATATAACTCGTCTTTTGTAAATTAATTGTCAGTTTATTAGCATTACACCAGTCTGAAACAATTTGAAGATTTGTGTTCACTTCAGTCATATCAATTTCTTTTTGCCCTTCAGGAAATGTATGGAATAAGTTTGAGTCATCCGCAAAGAGTCGAAAGTTAAAGTAACGTGTAGCAAATGGCATATCATTAATATAAAGTAGGAAAAGCGTTGGGCCTAGGACAGAGCCTTGCGGTACACCACATGTTAAAGGCAGCATGGGAGATGTTACATTTCCGTACTGTACAAATTGAAATCTTCTATAAAAATAGTCCTTAAACCACTGTAATGCTATTCCTCGTATTCCATAGTGTGAAAGTTTGCTGTATAAAATATCATGATTAATTGTATCAAATGCTTTCTTAAAGTCTACAAATATCCCAAGTGTGATTCTTCCCTCATCCATTGAATTCCTCAAAGTGTTAACTAAATTTATCATTGACAATTTTGTACTGTATTTTTTACGGAAGCCATACTGGTGCTCATATAATACATGATTTTTTTCAAGAAAGTCAAGAAGCCTATTATTTACAATTTTTTCAAAAACCTTCCCAAGAACAGGTAATACTGAAATAGGTCTATAATTTCCTGCTTCATCTTTAGGTCCTTTCTTATAAACAGGTGTCACTTTTGCTATTTTAAAGGCATCTGGGAATTTACCAGAGGTGAAAGACAGATTGAAAATAAATGTAAGGGGAGAAGTTACATAGTGCACAGCATCTTTTATCAGCTTGATTGGCATATTATCATACCCACTAGCTTTCTTTACATTCAAGGATATTAAATGGTTGCTAACCTCAGTCTCAGTAACTGGTTTCCAGAAGAAAGATTTGTCTACACCATCGTCTAAAACTTTCTCTGTATTACGATTTGTGTTTGGTATGGCATTCGCCAAATTTGGACCAACATTAACAAAGAAGTCATTAAATGCATTTGCAATATCTTGTTCATTACACAGGGTTTCATTAGTACCAGTATCATTCACACACAATTTATCCACCACTGTTGGCTTAAACGAATTGTTTCCACCACTTAAAATCTCGTTTACAGTCTTCCATGTTTTGCTAGTATCACCCTTATTTCCAAGGAATATCCTACTATAGTAATTTCTCTTTGAGTTTCTGATTATTGTAGTTAACATATTCCTGTACTTCTTGTATGTTGTTAAATAGACAGGATTGTGGTTGATGGCAAGAACCTGTGAATACATTGTATGTTTCTTTTTTATGGAATTCATTATAGCTTTTGTAATCCAAGGTTTCTTAGGTTCGTTCTTTCTCCTTTTACCGTGTTGAGCTACAACTGGTGCATGCTCATCACACACTTTTGTCATGATTTCACAAAAACGGGAGTATGCGAGATCAGCATCATCCGCTGCATAAACTGATTCCCATGTTATATTGGCAAGCTCAGCATGGAATTTTGTAACATCATAGTTCTTGTAAGAACGAGACATTAATTTTCCTCGGCAAGACTTTTTCTTAAATTGTATATTAGACTTAAAAATGGTAAAGATCGGAAAGTGGTCTGTAACGTCAGATTCAATTATTCCTGCATGAATACTGGGAACATTCATATTGGTATATATATGATCAATCAAAGAGAAGCCATGTTGCGTTACTCTAGTAGGAAAATTAATCAATTGATGCATGCCGATACATTGCATGGAGGTGAGAAAGTTATCAGCTGCCATTTCATCGCCTAGAAGATTGATATTGAAGTCTCCAGTTAGCACACATTGACTTTTGTCTAATTTCAGATCATGTACAATACTTAACAGACTATCCTGAAACTCATGAATATCTGTATTTGGCTTGCGATAGATGACACCAATAATGATCTTCTTTTCATTAATTACTACTTCCAACCAAAGTGATTCAGCATGTGCTACTTCAAAATTTCCCAAAAGCCTGTATTTAAGGGAAGAGTGAATGTATGCACCAACACCTCCACCTCTTAAAGTATGATTGCGGCATTTCACCTCTAAAGTATAGCCTTGTATGCCCAAGATGGATGTGTCTGGTACGCTCCACACTTCAGATAAACATATTATATCAAATTTTGATTTGATACTACATTCGTATAACAGTTTTAGGTTTTCTATATTTCTATTCAAAGATCTGATATTGACATGTGTAAGAGAAAATGCATTTTCAGTTTTGGTTTGCAGAACATCATCAAAATTAACAGGAGTTAATTTGTGTGAACTAAGACACAGATTGAGTTCATTGTCCTCCATTTTCAAGTCATTTTTCTATTAATGACTTAAAATTACTCAGATAAAAAGAAAATCAAGCAATGACAAATAGCTTGAAGCGAGCGTAATCCATATCATCAAGTCCAAGATCAAAAAGGTCATCAGGGTTGCGAATTGTTTTAAAATCGCCATCATCCATCTTGCAGACAATTGTTCCTGACCTTGTCGCCACACTCTTGACTCCATCTATCTTTTTGGCCGCCATCATCACCGAGTACCTCAGCCTGGTTAGGTCCTCATTCACATACACCCTCGTGAAGTTGTCCTTGTCTTTCAGACCAAAACGTGCCTGGTACAGGGCATCCCTCCTCCTCCTTGTTGTGAAGCGCACAACAGACTGACGAATCTTCTCCTTATCTGGTGACCACTTCCCTATACGATATACGACTTAATATTTCTATAATATAATACTAGAAATTTAATTCGTCATGGGGACGAATTAGGTGGTCTGTTTTCAATTTTATGATCATTGAAAAGTCAAAAAAGAAAAAAAAGTGAAGAAAAAAAAATTGTTGGAGACGCCCCGACTCGAACCAGGGACCGATATACCAAAACATTTCCATAGAGATTACACGTAAACGGAAAATGGATTTCACAAATCCCACTTTGTAAGTGAAATATGAGCATGATCCCGGCATCTGATCGAAAAATAAAAGGCATACTTCGGATAGCTTATTGTCTTAGCTACAACATACTCACAGCTCAGCAAAAACAAAGATAAAACGACGGAGATATTGCTCGCAAAAGACAGGATGTAGAATCCAGTTTTGAGAAAAAGTCATGTCCCATAGAGAATACACGCAAAATGTGAAAAATTGACATGCCACCTTTAATCGCAAAATTACGCCATGATACCTTTGTCAAAATGAAATATTGTGGTCACTGCATTTGTAGAGAATTGTCTCAGCTAGATCATATCAAAATTTGGAAGAAAATCGGTAAATATTTACAGAGATACAGTCAATTTTCCAGAAATATGCTGACGTCATAATATGCAAATTGAAATTTTGAGTTGGGAGGCCATTATGATGACGTCATAAGTTAATTGAGGGTCAAATGAGACATGAAATCATATCTCCAATTCATACTCTATCAAAATATGGAAAAAAATTGGGTTCACCTTCCATCCTAAAGCGCTACAATGGATTTTGTATAGGCATGTTTTTTGCCCATGTATGCTATGTATTACAAGAGCTCGCACACACGGAAATTATCTTAAACGGACGCTCATTCCGTTATTAATGGTCAGAAAAAGGTGAACAAGGTATCAAAATGCTTGAAAAAATGTGCCAAGTATGATGACAGAGAAAAATTGGCGATTCTATGTTGAAAAATACCAGTACGCGCGAAAACGCGCGCGCATGCACGTGTGCGCGTTTTTTTGCAAAATGCTTTAAATGGCCTAAAACGTATGCAAAATTAATTTGATATGATTTTGAGCATTTTGAATTTTTGCGTGCCTGCTGACGCGCGGACGTACGCATGCGCGCGCGTTTTTTGACTTGAAATTGACCGGACGGATATTGACCTTAATCATGATAAATATGAATGAGAAATGCTTTTCCGTTATGAAGATATGATCATGAGTAAAAAGTACCCCAAAAACACAAAATGGCGCCTGGATGACGTCATGAAGATTTGATGACCTTGAAAATGTTACTGTCACGTCTCATGACAATGAACTATGAATGTGCTAAAATTGAAGGAAATTGATTGAATCGATCTTGAGTTATCCTGTGAACAAAAAAGTGTGAAGAAATAAATAAAAATAAATAAATAAATAAATAAATAAATAAATAAATAAATAAAGAAAATTCTGACGAAAACAATAGGTGATCTGTCGTTGACAGACCACCTAATAATAAATAAAGGCAATTTTAACAAAAATATAAGGTGGTCTGTATTAGATACAGCCCACCTGATAAATAATCAAAACAATATGGATATATCCAGTACATCTCCAGTTTTAGATTTGTGCTTCCCTGTCCGTTTTTGAAAAAAGATTTTAGATATTGATTGGGGGGGGGGGGGTGCAGAATGCCTCCACCTGTCCCCCCCCCCCCTTTCGCATACGCTGATGGAGCAAGTATGCTCACATTTCCGTATTTATTTTATCTCAAATACTGTTAGTTATAATTTTCCTGTAAACTACATATTCCTCAATGAAAACCTGTCATAATGAGTAAAAATAGATTTAGTACTTAAAAAATGACGTGATCATTTAAACATATTACATAAAGCATTAGGTAGAGATTAATTATCTTGTCACGATAAAGCTGTGTGTTCACTGTGCTAATATAATCCTCACTACATTGCTAAATTCGGTTAGCTGAATATTACTCATCATTACATGTGGGTTTTCCTTTTGTAAAAAACAATGTATGACACAGGGTTAATAGCATACCAAACGACGATGAAGGACGATGACACACCCCTGCATGAGGCTTGCTCTGCTGGCCATCTCGACATTGTTACGATGCTGTCGAGAAATTATGGAGCCGACATCAACGCCAAAAATTTGAATGGCGAAACCCCGCTCCATCACGCTTGCAAGGAGAACCATCAAATAGTGGCGGAGTTTTTGTTCGAAGAGTAAGAAATGGTCTTAACATTTAAAATACATTTCTGTAGCTCAAAAACCAAATATATGCAGCATATATTTAGTCATATCGATGTAAAAAAAAAATGTTTTGAACGAGAGGTGATGAAAATGGATGTTTAAAAGCTTCAAAACAAGAAAAATTAACAGATAGAAAGAGACGATCAAACCAATATTAAACAAGATGATTGAAAAGAATACACAAAAAGAAGGAGACTAAGGTACAACAAAAGGAGGAAGATAAAGGGACAATGAATATAGAATTCTAAAAAAAGGGGAAAAAATAAACTAATGACGAGTCTAGGGAGAGAATGAACAAAATTTAAGACGCTGAATGGATGAAGAGGATAAAACATAATATAAGACATCGGCGAACAAGGCATACTAAAGGTAAAGATTTGAGAAAAAGGAAAGAAAAAAAGATTAGTCTATCAACGTAAGTTCGTCCAGCTCGGAGTTTGATTGTAACACGTTTCTACATATCTCTGCCTTCTGCCATTTAGTACACTCACGTTTTGTTCCCAGTTGGTCCTTGACCTCCATGGTCTTCTCCTGCTGTTGATACCCTCTACTCTTCCTCCCCGAAAAAATCTTTCAAGATAATCTAATGTGTTTTAATGTATTTCGTATGTTTTTCTTAAAAATTTATAATTATCAGGGTATTTTGTTTAAGCCCTGCCATATGCAATATTTCTTATTAGTTTTCATATATTTCCATTATGTTTTAACGCGACCAATTAACTCCTATAGACGTGCTGACATTCGTGCCAAGAACAATGAAAAGCTCACGCCCCTCCAGGTCGCGACCAATTCCGGTAGCTTCGACACCATCATCGGTCTACTCGGTCGTATTCGTAGGTCGGAATTTAGCGTGACTACGGGTGATACTATTCGTGACGCGGCCTCGGATCTCCTCAAGTGGGCAGCTACGGAAAACAAAGCAAATACACTCCAGGTAAGCAAATAAAAAGAGATTTGTTAAGTAGTGATGGTAATGGACATGACGAAGAAAAGACGAGAAGAGGAACAATATTAGGAAGTGAAAGAAAAGAAATACATGTATATAGAAGAAGAAGGTAAAGGTTACGATAATTTGCTTATTTTTATGATGATGGTTGTGATAACGTCGGTGGTGGTTTCGGTGATAACGGTGATGTTCTTTATGATTACGACGATGATGATGATGATTATGAAGGGGAGGAGGTGGAGGAGCAAAAGGATGATGATCATGATACTGGTGACGATAAATGACGACGGTGATGATAGCACAAACACAAAGACTAAAACAAAATCAAACCCGAGGCAATTTAAATAGCCTTGTCCATCACATTGTGCGTGTTAACATGCCAATGACCTAAACCCGAAAATGAATTATTTATTTGGGATATGCATAGGGTATGAAATTGTCGTTGAGTTGATTTGTCGTTGAGTTGATTTCTCGATAGGGATTGATCTTTTTGGTGGTTATGATGATGATTATGATGTTATTCGTGTTGTCGATGACGATGATGATGATGATGATGATGAAGAGGAGGATGAGGATGTGGATAAAGATGACTCAGTGTTGTAACAAAGATGATTAGGAGGATAATGATGATGACGTCGACTCTCTTTTTTTCTCTCAGCTTCTTCTTCATCACGGGGTTATGCTCCATTGGGTCAATGATGAAGAAATCAGCGAATTCATTCTCGATGCCGCCAAGAAAGGACACACAGAGTAACTCATAACACTTCTTGAAATCGAAAGAATATTAATATCATAATCTTTCTTAGTAATGATTATTTGAAATAATTTGATCAATAAAAGTATACATACTTTGATCCAAGGCCTTTGTTAGATAGTGTTTGCCTATTGAGATGGTGTTTATGCACCCCAAGACCGAAATATAACATTATCTTTAATTGGTTTACCAATATTATTTTCAGCATTTTTATATTAGCTCAGGCGCGTAAGCAGGGGGAGGGGGGTGGGAGGGATTACCCCCTTCAATTGTTTGTGGACGTTTACCCCCCCCCAAAAAAAAAAAGATTTTTATTTTGTTTTCTTTTGCTAAAGGGCTCCCCCCCCCCCAAAAAAAAGGAGGTGATTTTCAGATTTTAAAACACCCCCTTGAAAAAATACTGCGTACGCCACTGCATTACCTGTTCATGATTATTTCAAAGTACACATATCTGTCTCCCATACTGCCCGCGAGAAAAATAAACACCACCCAAATTGTGACACTTTTTTAACAAAGTGCTCACTACCACCCCCTCCCCCTCCCTGCTGAGCGAAATATTGGCCGGCGCGATTTTCAGATTTTAAAACACCCCCTGCCCGCGAGAAAAATAAACACCACCAAAAATGTGACACTTTTTTACCAGAGCCCAGAACTTCTGTGTTTTTCAGGAAATACGATTGAATAAACATTTATAATCATGATGTTTCATTACGCAGAACGGTAGCGGCATTGATTCGATGGAAGCGAAGTGAAGTCGTTGATAAGTGCGATGACGTGGGTAACACACCGCTCCACTATGCCTCTGAGGCTGGACATGACCAGACCGTTCAGGAGCTCATCAAGGCGAAGGCTACCGTCAATGTTACGTAAGAAAACGGACATCTAAAGTCTTGTTCAGAAATGACGCGGTAAACCACCGCGAAAAAACGCCGCGGTTTTTTTTAACGTGTAAATGTAACTGCGCGCGACAAAGATCCTTTGCGCATCCACTGAGTTTTGTGCTATGAGATACTCATACAGGATATTGCACTTTACGTCATCTTAAAAAGAAAACCGACCCGCTTTTGCTGTGTGAAAGGGGTGTCGATCTTAGGTGTGTGTGTGGGGGGGGGGGGGCAATGACTAATATTTTCCCTTATGTAATTATTTTGGAAATAAACTGAGAATCACATAGAGGGATAGATTTAATTCCCCCCTATTTTTTTGGCAAGGCGAAATGATAAAAAAAAATGTTTCAATGTAGAATTGTATCATCTATTTACTTGTATATGGTTTTGATCAATCATTGTTCTTTCAATTCTTTTTAAAGCAACTCTGATGATGCATACAAGCGGTCTCCTTTGCACCTTGCAGCAGCCAATGGCTGGATAAGGACAGTCAAGCAGTTACTCAAAGCTAATGCACGGGTTGATAAAACAGACTTGGACGAGGTAGGTAATTCAAACAGAATTCCTGCAATCAACATGAATTGGTAGGAAAAAAATATCGCGTCTGGCGTTGGTAAACGTTTTGGTTCTGTGTCGATCTTTACAGATCTGATATAGTTATTCCCTTGCACGTGGTGCAGATCATCTGTATATATGGAGCGGTAAAGGACGGTTCTGAAACATTTTAAATCCTCATTGGGCCTCTGAAAATCGAAACGAATGCCAGAAACTTTGATCTGATCCTGGTTCAACTTCTGCTGCAAGGACAGAAGGAGATATGACAAAACCAATGCATGTATTTGGGATTCATTTAAAAGATTGGCATGGTGTGACTGAAAATAAAAATGCCAACTTGAAGTCAACGTTAACGACTGTCATTGTATCTCAACATTGCAGTATCCCTACAACCACTACAATATACAATAATTAGGGCAGTTATTTACGAGTTCATGGCTTCCAGGCAAATTATATTCTGCTTCCTTTGCCAGATAACACCTTTGCATCTAGCCTGCAAGAAAGGTCACATCGATATGGTGAAGCTTCTCGTCTGCGAGGAGAAAGTCGACATTGTACTGCGTGACAAGCAGGGACTCAACTGCCTCGACTATGCCATCGACAACGGGCACGAGTAAGATTACAAAACGACACAAATCAGATGACCCGGCTCCCCTTCCTCCTACCCATGTCTCTCCCTCTCTCCGTGTCCATAAAGACATGTATATTATATCTACATATTTAGCTATTATATAGTCAATCTCTCTCTCAACTATTCAGACCCCCCCCCCCCACTCCCCCTCTTTTACATCTACAGAAATACAGGTTATAATGTTGAAAGGTTTAAAAGGTTTGTTTTTGTCTCTTAAACGGTCCACCTTGGGGATGGAATAAATACAGATAAATGGGACAAAAATATTTTACAACTAAGACAGCAAACCAGAATATATCTTACCAAAAAAGAGGCGAGATGGCTCAGTGTTGCAGCAGTGGTCTCGTAACCGTAATGTACCGGATTCGAAACCCAAGTCAATGAGCTCGCGCCCATTAGTAAGGCATTACTCCTCAATATCAAGTCCCTCGGAGATGACCTAAAGCCGTAGGTCTCTTGGTTGTTTACGTACAATCATATACATGTTTTATTAGCAGTCGGGTAAAACAATCATCATCAAACAACGAAAGGTTCTTTGGCTTCAAACAACACACAGTAAACTAAAGGCAAGATTTCAAATATAGCTTGAGAAAAACTAAATAGTCTATCTAAGATATTGTAAGTGCTAAAAGTACGTGAACTATGCTACAAAAAAAAAATAACATATTATATACACATGCCCATGTAAATGTCAAGGGTCTAAAGAATTTAAAATTAATTAAACTGAACAAATTTGATGTTAATTCTAGTGTAATAATATTTCTTAACATAATGCTTACGAATGTTATCAAAGATCGGGCATACGAGAACATAATAAAACTAGCAGGACCCGCGGAAATCCGCGGGATTCTAGAGGGGGCGGGAGGTGTAAATAGATATATAGAGAATGTCTAAATTAAAACCACCAAGAACGTTATTTGCCATTCAGGCCATTAACAAAATATACATGTTTAGCGTCCCCGCCCGCTTTTTTTTTTGGGGGGGGGGGCCGCCTCCTATTTTTTTTTTTTTAAGAAAAAAAACATCGTCCCCGCCTGCTTCCTTTTTGGGGACCGCCTCCTATTTTTTTTTTTTTTTTTTTTTTTTGAAAGAAAAAAAACATGAAAAGCACTGCTAAAATGTATTTCTGATTTTAAAAAAGAAACAAAAAAAATTGTAGGCCGCCATCTTGAAAAATAGCCCGAATGCCAGGGAAAATGTACGGAGCGGCCATTTTGGAAAAAAAAAAGAAGAAAAAAAGCGCCTCCTCCTTCCCATTTTTCAAAAAAACAGGACGCTATAAGCATGTTTTTTTTTTAATTTGGCCTTATATTAAATTTAAAAAAACAATCCAACTGTACCGGTAGTTATTCTTTAAGCCACTGGAACTGCGTAGAGTTCCGTAGTGTAGCGTACCGACTACGCAGAAATTAGGCTGCGTATTAATGGGAAAATAGTCCCTGCGTAGGTTATGCGTAGGCTGGCGTACAGGTTTGCTTATGGTTGCTTACTGTGTGGAAAGCTTTTACTGCTTAGTCGATCTGGCGTAGGGTAGCGTACTGTTGCGTAAAAAGGCGGACTTTCTGCGTAAAAAGGCGTAATCTCTGCGTCAAGTTTCTACGCCGAAAGTACGCAAAAAAAATTAAACATGTTGAATTGTTTTCGTTCACCTTGCGTACCCCTTTCCGTCCCTCAGCATATAGTAACGTAGGCCAGCGTAGTTGGTACGCAACACTACGCAACTCTACGTATTGACCCCACGCCAATTAGTGACCCGCAAGTGTCACAAATAAAGTATTATAAATATGCTCATCTGACCCTAATTAAACGCCTAAAACCCCAGAGCTTTCGGGGGTTTATGGCCCCTTGAAACCGTGGACCCCACGCCTATATTATATATACACTCAACTCGCTGCGATCTGATCTCTCGGGGATCTCCCCCCCCCCCAACTTTGAAGAACGTAACCTCCGAGCTTTTGGGGGTTTATGGCCCCTTGAAACCCGTGGACCCCACGCCTATATTATATATACACGCAACTCAGGACCCGTGGAAATCCGCAGGATTCTAGAGGGGGGTGCAGGCAAAAAATTAAGTTTTTCATTTCGGGGGCTCCATTTCAAATTTTTGGGAAATTTTCGGGGGCTACTTTTTCAACTTTCGGGGGCTCTTTTTTCTGGGGCTACTTTTTCACTAATTCATAAAAAACGATAGGCCTACACTTTGTTGAGATTTGTTCAGTAGCCTAAGGTTTCAGGCTTCCTTCTTTATAATTGCCTATTTAAAAAAAAAAAACATTTTTCTAGTTCAATAACTAAGTTTTCATGCATTGATTTGATGCAAGAACTGTAACATAATAGACCCTAGATTGTGATTATTTCTGACCATTAATTTCGATAATCATTTTTCAAAGTAAAATTGTCACAAGAAAATCAGACAGTCGTTTAAAAACGTAGACATTAGTAATACTTTTACTAATTCTAAGCTCAGGTTTCGTAAATCTATTCACGAAACTATATTAAAATCGCGGCAATAATGATGCAAACCAACAGATAACAATTTCAAAGTGTCAAATCTCTTCGACTCGAATTCAACTCACACACTGCTGCATAACTGCAGCGTAACTCAGCTCATCTCACACACACTACACAGTGGCAATGCACTATTGTATGCGTGTCAGTTACGGTGATTTTGTCTGATTTTCTTTACTTTGAAGAAATGATTATCAAAATTACGTAAACATGGCGAGAACATCACAAAATATGCTTTAATTTCATACCTCTATTTATGGAAACTTTATAATATTGCAGCAATCGTGAATTCGTGATGGAAATTGATTGCAGTTTCGCGATGTTTAGTGGTTCATGGTCTAGATTCAGCTTCTACCAAAACAAAATCGACCGCCAAAAACTCGAGCCCTACGCTCCGTCTCGATCTCGCAACTGCGAAAATGTACGTGTTTTGGCGTACTTGCGTGCGACATGGTAAGCCAGGTAAGGTATGGAATATGATTCGAGTTTTTTTACGACCGATTTTTGTGTATACAATTTTATACGGATAGTCATCGGTCGTGTGTCTACGGATGTAATGTTGAATATCCATGAGGTATCTCTGTCGTCACGCATATCCTGCATTATGCATATCGCGTCTGTTTTCGCCCTGGACGTCGACACGGAGGAGGACCTCGGGCGGAGTATAGCCAATTCCACAGAGTAGACTCTCCCGCGGACGATGGCACCGGGCACCGGGACCCCGAGGGGAGGGTTCAGGAGGAGATAGCTGCACCAACTTCGGTCGGCGATCTCATTAAAAAACAATAGAATACAAAGGCCGGCGGAGACGTCGCGCCCCCCGCGGAGCCTTAGCGTATTATTATTATAGATTCATCACCTTGTACTTTGAGATCACATACTGAACACTATTCTAAAGGCTGACCAGGCAAATAACGGCAAATAGTGACGGGCAGCTGCTTACGTTTACCAGATCGAAAAGAAATGTAATGTCTTGTTTTTTCTGACCTCCTATCGATTTTCTCTCACCCCCTTCTCTCTCTTTCTCGCTCTCTCTCTCTCTCTCACGATATTTCAAACCCACACGCCCTACACACTCTAAACTTTCGTTTCCGACTTCTCTATCGATCTATCCATGATTCGCACCATTGATATTTCTTTCTGCCTCTTGATCACTCTCTTTTTACCTATGTCTAATCTTGTAGGAACATTGCCGATTTTATTTTAAGTCACGATAAATGGCGAGAAGTAATGTCTGTATCCATACTGGATGATGATACGTATGAAAGGACTACACCCATGAGAAAACTCATCAAAAACATGCCAGGTAAATGAACAATAAATGAACGGACTGCAAGTAAAAGCCATCGAGTTTTATCAGATTCCATTGTTTCTACGGTTTTGGGGCTGGGTAATGCCTAGATTACATTTGTCCTGCGATTAGTCTACGGAGCCCGTATCCCCTTTTCCGTGCGGCCTTCGTGCGGAGGCAGGAGGTGGCCGTGAAATTTTCGTATGAATCCACGGGCTCCGCGGCCTCTACGATTTTGTTTCGTGAGAAGTTACATGATGTATACAAATTTGAAAAATCGTATGCCCGTAGCCCGTAGACATGTCGTAGGTGGCATTGCACCGTCGCGCAGAGGCCTCGTGCTGATCTCGCAGAAAAGGCACGAATTTTCGGTGAACATGGGGGCAAAATAACGCTCAAAACGGCACGGCGGCTGAACGGTCACCGCGCTTTCTTCTCGCAGCCTATGCAAGTAAGCTGCATGGGTTCCGTGCGATTTCTGTGCGGAGACTGCACAACTACTGCACGATTTATGTACAATATCCGAGCAGCCTTTCTACGGATTTGTCCCGGTCTTTCCCCGAGGGCCAATACATGAAATGGCACGATTCTCGTAGATAATGTAAACACAAACATTGTAGCCCGTAGCCTCCTAAGATGCCCCCAAAATCGCACGAAAAATTGTAGACAAATTTATCGTACGGCGCCCGGGGCAAATGTAATCTAGGCATAAATGGACCAAAAAATGATGTTGCTCGTTGAGGTTTTACTCTCAGATGATTTGTTAAATATAAAAATTACTTTGGGAATTCGCCCAGATATCTTTATATCGAAAGCATTTCATCCGTCTGCTGTTCCTTTCCACAACATTCCTAATCACAATATACATATCATTTCAGTCAACATTATACTCTTCAATATACATGTATACTATAATTTACATAAAATTGTAGGCTGGAGTAATTTCATCCTTCAATGTGTGTCGTGAAAAAAATTACATCTAACTACATGTAAGAATTAACTCTTCCGATGTACATACTTATATTAAAATATGTACACTATAGACCCTAGACTTGAGCGCTGTTAGTATATATGCAGCTTCAAGCGCATACTTTATGTCATCCCATAGTATAACATCCCTACTACAAGTCCATGTAATTCCGCATTGCAACTTCAAAAAGCATATTGTGAAACATTCGTAATTTCACGGCACTCCAAAACTTTCTATCACTCTCTGGCCACTTCATGAAAATGATACAACTTCTCCTTCCTTCTTCAGATATTGCTAAGCGAGTCATGGATAGGTGTATTACAGTATCGTCAGAAGCAGGGCCCACGGACAGTGAATTTTGGGTTCAGTTTGACTACGAGTTCCTCGAGGATTCCTTCTCCAATTGGGATAGGCCGAAGGATTCCGATGGTAGCTAGTAGTAGTAATAGTATAACATGTAGTATGCTGAATGGTTTTAAAAGTAGGTTTAAGAAAAGGTATTCTTGCATAATATTATTTTTAGTTTAAACCCTGTGTTTCATCTCTCTGATATATTATATGCCAGGCTCTGTTTATTTTGTCATGTCCTTGCAATTTGGTTCTTATATTTATCTTTTAATTATATATATATATCTCTAGAGGTCGGCCACTTATAAGGGTCACTTCCTTTCTGATTGCTACCTGCAAGCCACTTTCAAATTGTTGTACCAATGTTTATACATGTCTTCTATTATTTTATGTAACAATGTATAGTTCTATAAATGTATGTTATATATTTTATAAATGCTCTTGTGAAATAGAATTGAATTGAATTTGGATAAGTACAAGTTTACCACCATATGCATGGATTAGTTCGGACCGCGAATAAACATAGATTGCAGAATGTAATAAAACATATATACTTAGCGATTCGTGAAGAACTGACTTTCACTCAATTAAGTTTCTTCAAAATTTTGAGATTTTGGGGGGTTTTGAAAATCACACATTTTATTACACGGAATGAATATGTATCAATTAAACTTGATGTTGAGGCATTATTGTTGAGCTATGGGCATACAACTTCAGATTTGGATACCTGAAACATTCATTTATCAAGATATAATACATCTGAACCTATGTTTAAAGACCACTTGGCTGCCAAGTCCCTATTTTATCTTGAGATGTGATCAGACTTTATTTTCAACTAGGCTTGACTGTAATTGATAGCGAATTATATACTAATAATGCGATATAAAAAGTGAATATGTAAATCCAGACAAACTGATTATCATCGCTCTTTCTTAGATGATGAGGACAACGACGATGACGAGCATAAGACAGAAGAGACTATATTCACCATCACACCTAAAGGGCAATCTACGTCGGACAGCGAGCTACATTTCACTATAGAAGGCAATACCGTCAAACAGAGTCAACTCAAGTCCAAGAAAATCCCTGAGACTCCAAAGGCGCCGACGGGAGACCAGTATGATGCCAAAGGGCATTTGGAGAAGAGCGCGAGGCCATATACGACCAGTTCGAAAGCCATTGCTGCTAACCATCCTCTTAATATTATGGTTAATGTCATAATTATATTCCTGAACTCCAATAAAAGAAATGTTATTTGATATAACGTCTTTTCCGTGGAGTTAAAACCGCTGTACATATTGCTTCACATGTTAGGGCCACATAACAACTAAACCAATAATATATCACTTCTAAACAGACACAGGGCTCTGTTTTATTAAAAAAATTATCATCAATAACATGTTACAATAACTGTTATAATCTATTGAAATCGTGGCATTTGATTGGCTGAGAGTAAAGTTGTCATAACTTGTTAATGTTATAAGTTTTATGAAACAGGGCCCATGTGAGCCAGTGCAATCCACAATTGTCCTCTTTGAAAATAAATGTGACGTCACAATTACATTTGCCAAGAGGATTCTCTAGAACAAACTAAAGATGTTCTGAAGTACTGATCAAGACTACTTTCTGTCCTCCATTGAGTATGTTGGTACAATTTGCATGGCCACTCTCTCAAATTAAAAAACACTTTGTGAAATGTTCTCGTGTGGCTAAGGTTTTATCCTCCTTTACCAGGTGTTGACATACATCGTTATTCGTCTCTATCGATCCCAGGGTAGAAAGAACCCAACCTTAAGCTGGAGTGCAAAATTTCAATGCTAATCCCAAATAAAATTGGTAGTGTGGCTCTTGGGGGACATGCAGGCTTATCAGCAATAGAATTGAAGAGTCTTGAAAGAAAATGAGAATTTCATTTCGCCTTGTAAATCTTTGAAGTCTAAAGAATGATGCAAAAGTGTCATTTTTGGTGTTATATCTAAACATATAATTAATCATTTGAATGAAAATAACTTTAGAAGTCTTATCTTTAATTAACCATCTCATGTAGGACGGATGATAATAACTCTGTTTGGAGCCCATCTTTATTTTAGTATCCAATATAACTCATAACATTGATGAAATATTACCTTCCAATTTCTTAATTATCAATAAATATCAAGCGAACTCTTTGGATTTTAGGTGACCTCGGAGCGCGCAGATCTCTTGGGCCATCCCCTTGTCTCCAGCTTGCTCAATTACAAGTGGAGCCGAGTCGGACAGTACGTCTTCTGGGCCTCTTTCGGTTCTTACCTTCTCTTTGTTACGATGCTGACTGGTTACGTCATCGTAGTCCCGCCTAGTTACTATGTGCGACACGCCAACCAGAGTGCGGGGGTATCTTGGTTCGTCAACGGCGAACAGAGATGGACTGCAGGGTTCCATGAAGCTACGATATTCTTCTTTGGTCGCATCGGTGATTGGATCATACTGGTTCTATCCTTGATCAACCTGCTTCGGGAGGTACAGTCCAATTTCTCTAGATTTGCTATTGTTTTGTGTCGAATTAATGACATTTTTGTGTGCGGTAATAACAAGGATAGTCATACTATTAGATGGCACACATAACATACAATCCATCCTCCAAACAAATGAAGAATTCACTATTGCTTAAAGCAATGCATTTCGCAACAATTAATCTTTGACTTGTGAAGGGGAATAAGCAGTATGATAATAACAAGAGGTATATGAATGCTAAAAAAATGAATTACATAATTTATATGGGGTATATAGTTCTTCCGACAACCTCAAAGACTCCGTCCAAGAACATTTCGTAAGTTTGAAATAGAATAATTAATTGTTTTCTTTTCAATTAATAGGTATCTCAGTTGCTTGTTCTAAGGGGATCTTACTTTTCCTTCGTGAACCTAATCGAGTGGTCTCTGTACGTCCTGGCCATTCTCCTTGTCTTGCCACTTAGCGGGGTCCAGTACTTAAAGGGGGTTAGCCTACGACTGGTAAGATCATGGTTAAGACCGAGAATGATGCATTTTCAGGTCCATTTCCAAGACTACAAAAGCTTGGTCTCAGGGTTGGAAAATTGAACTTGTAAGCGTCAATCGCGTATACAGGAGATTCTGTTATGATTTTGTTTAGATTACGAACTAATAATTATGACATCATAACTATGCACATCTGAATTTAGTCATGAAAGTATCAATGTTACAATCCATGTATTATGGCATTACGTGTATGATTGGTCTTTTCTGCTTTGAGATATTTTTTTTTCAAATTTGGGCCACCCCATCCAATCCACAAAGTATTTGATGTAGCGCCTTTTCCCTGAGTTACAAAGACCTTCACAAAAAGCTCCAAAAAGTAGTAAAAACAATAACCAAATTTCTTCAAGTGAAACAGCTGAGACAATACAGACGTATAATAAATAATATCGAATATATAGGAGCGCTAAAAACAATAAGTACCATGATAGCGCTTACAAATACAAATATATGAAAAGAGGACAAAAAGTACAGTACAGGAAGTATATCACATAGATCATTGGGCGAAAAGGTGACTTTTGGGGATCTTTTGAAGGTGGCAAGACAGGTAATTTCCCTTATGGAAAGAGGGATGCTGTTCCAAGTCTTTGATGCAGCTACTGCAACACGTTTTTCAGCTGCTTGGAGTCTAGATTTTGGAATGATAAGTTTACATGTGTTGGTTGCTGAACGAGGACTACGAGTTGGTGTAAATATTTGGAGGGTGTCATTAAGATATTCAGGTGCCAAATGATTGAGTATTTTAAAAGCATATAAACAGAGTTTTGGTGGAGACGTAACCAGTGGAGCTCCTTAAGTAAAGGTGAGGTATGAGTTCTTGACCCAAGGCCAAATATTAATCTAGCGGTACGATTCTGGACAGCTTCAAGTTTCCTTCTATCTTTAGCAGATAAAACAGTATAAAGACTATTGCAATAATCCGACCTAGAAGGAAATAGAGCTAGGACAACATGCTGACATGTCTTTAAATCAATGAATCTACGAATCCTCCATAAATTGTGGAGATGATAATTACAATTACGGACTACGTGGTTTACATGAGAGATCAATTTGAATATAGAATCAATGCATACACCAAAATCTGTAATTTTAGGGGAGAGAGAGGAATGAATTGACCATTTACTTTAAGCCGTACATCTGATATGTATAGCAACTATTGCTTTCTAACACAATATTCTGGCCTTCGAAGTATTCTTGAAGTAGTCCACAGATATAGCCTTCTTTAGAGTGGTGGGTAACTGGTTCCACAACCTTAGAACAATTGGCGGGAAAGAAATTTGTCTCCAGGACATTTGTTGGAGAGAGGCTGCGTCATCGAAGAGCGAGTGAGGCAAAACGAACTCAAACGAAACGGTTGATTTATATCTATACCGAGATCAGCACAACAATTGAAACTCTCAAGACATAATTATGTAATTTAAAATAAAATTGTCGTCACTTCTTAACTGTTCATGATAGGATTGGCAATGGCAGTGCGGTGCAGTGGCTGTCTTCCTGGCATGGATCAATCTCATTCTCTTCATTCGTCGCTTTTCGGGACTGGGAATTTACGTCATCATGTTCGTAGGTAAAATCGTCATCTATCAGGGGGTGTGATTGGATATTCATCCATAAATTTTCTCTTTTTTGTGTCATATGTATGAGTTTGAACAATGGAAATCAAAATAATTTCTTGATCTCTCTTAATATACATGTAATTGTGATTTAGTGGAAACGTCTCTGGACTGTAGATCACATAGTTTGCGGTTGAGACTAATGTCCTTTGGCAGGATATTAATCTACGTCTGTCACTCTTCACCCGTGTGTAGTATGCTTTTGTTATTATCCTAATATCGATTTTCCGAACTGTGATACCAATTACCATTAATTTTCAATAACCATCACACTTCAATCAACATCATCTCTTTGAAGAATCACAATAATGTAATGTCGATAAACATGTCATATCGCATGAATATAAAAACGAGTATCTCGCACCAAGGGTACATTTAGAATAGCGAAACTAATGTACCTGGGAAAACTCTAGTGTATGCAATAATCTGAGCTCATGTTGCTTGTTGAGCTGTAATTATCAGTATGATTTTGAAAACAGAGTATTGTTAACGACCCCACACCAAATATTTCATTTCCTTCGTTTCAGATATTCTTCGGACATTCATGAAGTTCGTCCTCATTCTCATCCTCTTTGTCGTCGCCTTTGCGATGGCTTTTTACACACTCCTCATGAACCAGGTAATATTAGGTTGTTAATATGGTACGTCATATACATGTAGGTTGGGCCTTAGATGTAAAGAGAAAGCATTTCAAAGTCACCTTTAGAACATCCAATGCTTGCGAATAAATAAACGAAAAAGAAAATAGCATGGAAATCTATGCATGCTCTATTGTTCGAAAATCAAATTTTGACCATAAAATCAGTTTCTTAAATTTTCTTAAATTGCATAGTTTCAACTACTTCTTTAATACAAAGCTTTATCAATTCAACCTTGTTGGCACACAGTATTGACAATTCTCATTGCTCATAGTCATAGTCTTTCTATATTGGACTGGTGGAGGAGAGGAAGAGGAGTAGGAGGAGTGGGAGGCGCGGAGGGGGGGGGGGGTTATGCCTTAGCCATTGCGAACAAAAGTCATATCGTGATGTTTAAATTTGGTAACGCTAGCATTACCTGTAGGAAGAGCCCCGAATAGGTCTACAAAAATGGGTTCACCGCTAAATCACCTGATCACTACGCATGGTGTAAAAGTAGATACGGTTGTATTCAAGGTCATGAATCATTGCCATCTATACGAAATGAACATCAGTATGATCAGTGCTACTATACGGCGGACCTGTCAGATATAAACACTAGCTTCGATCGTTTTCTTTTTCTTCCTAACCTAGCAACCCTTCCACAGCGTACAGTACTCCTTCGCCAAGACCTTTGTGATGATGATCGGAGAGCTAGACTTTGGGACCATCTTCCACAGCCAGAACTATCTGGGTACGGAGAACACTTTGGCCGATGGTGAAGAAGACTTCTTCCTCACTTCTGTCTTTTACAAAGGCGTCACGTATACCACCTTCCTTCTGTTCCTCGTCATCATGTCCATCCTCATCATGAACCTCCTGGTACGTCTCAAGATTATCAGGAAATATATTGTGGAGGGAACGAAATAACAAGAATGTAAAGGGTATAAGACGAAACTGGAGAAAAGGCACGGAATAGGAAATAGAGAGAATAGAGTGGGGCTAGCATGGCTATTGTTTGGTCCTGGATGTAGTACTCCAGTGACTTCAAGTCACTCCAGGAATCACAAACAGAGTGATTTATTATTGACAATTGTAGACTTAATCTATAGATGTAGAAGTAGGAATAGCAGTACAAGCAGAAGCAGCAGCAGTAGTAGTATTATAATTAAGAGTCCGGTAGACGCTGAAGTTATAGTATGATTTTGAAGTATTATGTCTACGAAGTCCTCCATTATTCAGGTACTAGAATTGTAAAACAGTAATGTCATGTTTTTTGTGAGCTGCAACAATAGATACTACCATTTCAATAGACATATAGAAGTAGAAGAACACATCTAAGGATACAAGAGACGAATATGAAAATATGAGAAAGAAAGTCAGCTTTCATTGGGTTTAAAGTTACATTGTAAAATAAATTCCATCGAATTCTCTCTTCCCCCCCCCCCCTGCGCTAGGCAACCGCTCATGTCAGCTAATAATAGGGACTTTTAGATTTGCGTGGACTGATACGTGTGACGTCCATTCAAGGCAGTGCATTAAAAGGACGTCGATTGTAGCAATCTACGTTGTCATTCGGCAAATCTAAAAGTCCCTAATGTTACTTTTTATTGACTAGGTTGGTCTGGCTGTTGATGACATTCATGCAATTCAAGAAAAGGCAAAGCTTCATCGTTTAGTAATGCAGGTTAGTAAGGTATTTTGTTTTCTTGTCATCAGCCATTGTGTCTTTTACTGTACAGTATCTTCTAACATGATAATCACTGCATCTCGTCCCTTCAGTAAGTACTCCCTCAATGAAGTACAAAGGCGCAGTCCACGAGGGGACGATGCAGAGCAGCTTGTTTTGTATGTTGTTTTTATTATTGTTTTTTATGTTGTTGGAAGTATTTGTGACGGAAAGAATTCCATGTGATGCTGTGTACAGATGCGAGTGCTTGGTGGCAATGTGCTGTTCAATAATATGCATGAAAACAGGATAATGGGCCAACCGACTTTAAGCCCTACCTTAGGTTTTAGTGATATGACTTTGTAAGTAAGCACTTTGTCCGAGAATACGAAGCACCTGAACTGACCTGAACTTGGTAATGAAGATAAACGTGAAAGTTAAAGCTTATTATTGGCGACGCTAATCTCCTGCATTTTCTGGAGACCATGCGTACCAAAGACTTCTCAGGTGGACCTTCAGATTTACCGGTACTCTAAAATGTTAGTTGCGATGAGTCGGTACCTTTCATACCGACAGTGGGGAAAAGGTAACCTCTTGGAAAGCTCGAGAAGTTACCCTTAGACTACTTGGAAATGTTAGATCTATTTCATCGCATTATCACATTGAGATACTCATCCCCAACCATGCAATCTTAACTATCTGAAACACCATCAACGTACAGTACAGGTATGGCAATTTCAAAGGCCTCACAATGTCACATTTCGTAATCCTAACATATTGTTTTGGCAATAAAACAATGTACTGAAATTTTCCTTAAATCCCGTCTGTACTAGTTTGGCCAGGGGGATTAGACCTCCCTGCAAAGTCGCTGACAGGTGGTTTTCTCATCAAATCAGCTCTCAATTAACATAAGAAAAAGGGGATAATGGGGGACCATCAGGCATCGATTAGGCATTATTTGCTATGTAGAGGGCGCAAGTAGCTATAAAAAGTGCACTTGGGCTATAAGATTTCCGTAAAGATAGTGCGATCGTGGCTTAACCACTAAATGTGCTAAATGACAGGTGGAACTGGTGATGGAGTTGCAAGGTGCCCTCCCAATCTTCATTTGGCGTTCGGCTGTCATCAGGTTTAAACGCTTCAATCCCAATGGGTCGTGCTGCAGCGGACTGCAGAAGTGGTACCATACGCTGACTGGAGATCAGAAACTCCTACGACATGCCATTCAGGTTTCCAACAAGACTACTGCACAGGTAAAAATACTGATCAACGTGAGTGCGATGTCCTCGTATGATGTAAAGAAAAAGAAGGTTAATACCTTCCTCAGAGACTAATGGCAAAGTGGGAAAGTTCTATTAAAAGTAAATTAGTTGATCGTGCTTAAAACTGTTATACAATGCTAATAAAATTGTCTAAAGATTTCAAGCGTTTAATGTCCAACAGGGGGTATGTGATATTTTCGAAATAAGCTGCTAAAGTTACCCTATCTATATCTAGATCTGCTCCTTTGAAACACGTCATGTAATGGATGCTATTAAAATGCACCACAAAATGAGTAAAATTAAAATAAGAATGGGATTCGCACCCTGGATCTCCCGGTTACGAAACCACTGCTCTATCACTGAGCCAGCTCGCCTCACTCACTTATCCAAATCTGTTCTTGATACAACCAGGGCGGATTCATGCATCAGGAAGTCACCACCGATCAACTGTTCACCAACCTCAAGTATCGCTTGAAGAAGATCGATACCAAAGTGGAGACAGTGAGCGAAAGGGTCGAAGAAGAGGGTCCAAAGATTGCTAAAATCAGCGTCGAGCAGGAACAGATGAAGGAGCGCTTTGAACGCCTAGAGAACAAAATTGATGCTCTCTTGAACCACATCAAGGTGAAATGGGATGATGAGTCAAAGACGGATGCGAAATAAATGAGGATGAGCGATTCCAATTGTTCTTGAATTAGTGACAACGGCCATGCAATATATATATATATACACACAATCTCTGTGAAATGCCGTTTAGTTTGACTTTCTTGATCCGCCATTGAAACGTGTGAAAAATATTTTATCTCATTGTTAATTTTTTTGAAAATTCCGTTGTTTTGGCCTCTTACGTTGTACGATCCATGGATTTTAATGATAATCACATTTTATTGATATTGATTATTGTCAGTATATTGTCTAACATAAAGTGAATTAAAATATCAATTTGCCTCCGATAAATTCCAATTAGATGTACCTTTAGAGAGAACAAAATTGTATAAAATTCTAAGATTTCCTTAGAGTTTATTGTAATTGTTTATAGACAATTACCTATAAGAAAATTTAACACATTCATTTATCATTCGCGTCAGTCAGCTATCATGATCGTTAATGAGGCGAATAAACAAGTAATACATGTGATCTGTCTAGTGGTTACGTCACTGTGGATCACGTGGTTCTCGGTTCGAGTCCCGCCGCGGCACTATTGTCTATTGGCAAGACATGAATCAAAATACGTCACATCCGGTGCAGGTGAGGTAAATGGGTATGTGGCAGGAACTAATTCCCTGAAATACTAGAGCGCCATAATGGCAGTCATGCTAAAACGGGGTAATAATAGTGGAGCACGGTGCACCTGGGGGAGTTTAAAAAAGCCTAAGATCGACTTAAGTTGGACTTAAACTATGGCAGGCCATTCATGCCACTGGTTGCTCTCACCATTGGTCTCTCAATTGTGTTCTATAAATAAAAAGCTCAACTATGTAGATTTTTTTACCACTATTTATACGTCCTTGATAAAGCAATGCCAGGAATGGTTAGAGAAACTAGCGGCATGAACGGCCTGCCATAGTTCATGTCAAACTTAAGTCGATTTTAGTCTTTGTGAAACACCCCCCCCCCCCCCCCCCAGTAGTATCAAGTCTGACAGACACAAGCCCTATACACGAACCCACTATTATTCTTATAACCTTGCCATATTGATCAATGAGTGTATTGTGCAAGGGTTTTTAAACCATTTATTGATGTAAATAGTACTATATTATTATACTGTTATCAAATCCTTACTATTGTTAATCATATAAATATTCATATTTATGTAAATGTATGCCCATGCGCATTGGTGGTAAGTTGGTGAATGTGAGATTCAAAAGCACCACAGTTATGGGCTATTTTCTTCTCGTAATTACACAGACCTATGAGCGTTCGTGCGTTTGTGTGAGGTGAGATGGTGATCCTTTTATAATGTAGAACCATGCATCGAGTCGTAATATTACGTTGATTTTTCTTCTTCAAAAGACGTTAGCCATACAATGAAAACTGGCCCTCAATTATTTAAAGAGCATGTCCCAAACGAATGTCAATGATAACAGAGTCTGTTTAAATTATTGAATTTGAATTAGTGCTTAATCGTTTTTTTTAATTTACCATACTTAGGACCTTATTTATAGATTTTAAAAATGAATGGCTTTAAGATACCCGTGTTGATTGGCTGATATTTTGTTATACATGCAAACAAATACAAATATGTTTAAATTTACACAATGTTGTTGACTACTATATCAATATACAAACTAAAAAATAAATATTTAAAAACTCGCCCATTCTTAAATATATATATCAAATAGCATTCGTAATCATAACTGGAAATGAACTGGAACTAATGCTTAAGATGTCGGTCTCCTGCATTTTCACCTTTGAAATGATTTGTCAACTATGTGTTTTTGTAAATGTATAATTATTTAATTGATTTGTATTATGATATGATTATATATGTATTTTGACTTTTTGTTAGTAATATACATGCACCTTCATAATACTTTATATTATTTTTAAAAAATTGGGAAAATAAACAAGAACAGAAGTGAATCTTTCCCCCAAAAAATATGATTGCACCATTTATTTTATTTTGCCTACTTCAAACATTTAAGTATTTAGTGATTGATTAACATTTGGGCTCTTGCCGGCCTTGCCCTCATCGTATCAAAACGGATGAAGATTACATCTAGGATAGAACACAAATTACAGAATAGAACACAAATTACCAGATATATACAGCGTGGATACCAATTCAAATTAGGTTTGGTGCTGTGGGGACGGGGTATATCAAACATAATTGTAGAAGAACAGAAGAAGAAGAAGTTCTTAAGTTCCGAATTACAAGACATGCATTTGTTCTTGCTCGTTTGCTACTCGACCGCGCAAAATAAGATATATAATTCATTGAACATATCGAATGGCCTCGCTATAAATGAGATACTTTTATTCAACACAATGCAAAGTCGCCCCCCACCCCCAACCCCAAACGGAATTTTGAACGAATACATACCGAGTCGTAATGTCTTGCACTCATGCCGCTATCTAAATACGTCAATCTTCCTTGCTCAGCCCCTCAATTTCATGAAGTGAAAATCGAATCTTATTAAATTCATCGAAAATAAAGAATCGAATACACTCAAAGGGTCAGTCAATATGACGTTAGGGTTGACAAACGTGCGTTTAATCTTAAGTCAACAATTATAATGTCATTTACTCACAGTTCCATTGCAGATAACATGCATACCTCGCTACAAGTGTGGCACAAATGGTCAAACAGTGGGCAATTTCATTAGTTTACAAATGCTGAATACTATACTTCGCACTACCGTGAACACCTCTTGTATTTCCGAATAAACACATTTAAGTGTCAATCTACGGTCGAAGTGTATTCCCTCCTTTCCTTTCAGTGAATATCTATTCAGATAGATAATCAATTTGAGTCATGAAGGATCGAAGCAAAAGAAAAACAGAAAATCATAATGATGCAATTGTTTGATAATTCATTTCCAATTTATACCAAGCCATTTGTTTCTCAATTCTCTGCATGAATTCCCCGAACTCTTTGAAAATCAAAGAAGGAGGTGGGGGGGGGGGGGCTGCCAGAAAGAGAGTTTTCATTCAATTGATTGTCAAAGGTCTGCCATCGATCATGATGACAATTATAGTCAATACCATTCTAAAGTGTTCTTATCAGTGTTCAAATACAGGCATATAGCGACCACCCTGCCATTCGTTTTGTGATCACGTGTATCGATATCAATACCTTGCGGAGTGCATATCTGACATAGTGTCACTCACAATATTAACAACTTTCGAGTATTCTTTTAACCTTTCTGTGGTGAGCAGTTTTACTTTCAACCGATATCCTGCAATTGCAAGCTAGATGTGACAGAGTTTTCATCAGTACTGTATCCTCAAGTACTGTGTTTCATTCTCTGATGGGCATTTTTCTTTTCAATAATTTGGGTATGTTTCAGTCGGACGTTTTCTCGTCTTTCGGTCGGCAATGACGGTGATATTTAATTTGGCCGACAGAAGCGATGAAACTCGAATTTTCACCATCAAATTCAACGACAAGGACACAAGCGGGATACTGGTAAACAGCTTTCATAATCGTTGTTATGATGACATTCAGGCATTATGGAAAACGTAACACGTGATGACAACGGAACAGAACCTTTTGATGGAAGTCTTTTTACTTTCATTTTTTTCTCTTTAAATATAGTAATCTCTGTTACCTTGAATGTAATCGCCGTTGTGGTGATATCAAAGCAAGTTTCCATGCCTGAAGAAGTGGCATTAGTTTACCAAGTACATGCTCTTCTTGACTTGATCCAATCTGTAATCGGCGGCATTTGGTCTCTCACATGGAAGGCTTCAAAAGGCGACGTCATAATTTGCACCGTGATCAATTCCACCCTTCCTTTCTTCTACTATGTCTTGCTTTTCAGCAACATGGCGTCTATATCTGGGTTGTGTATGAACAAGTATCTTCTCATCAGCCACCCCTTAAGGTATGCCACGATGGCTTCGCTGGACAAGACCAAAAAATGGATCGTTATCGGACTTGTAACAATCTCGTTGGTTTGTATGATATACCTCCCACTTCCCGGCTTACCCTTTTCGAAGAAATTCATTGCGGAATGCACCGGCGACAAAAAATTCATAACGAGCAATTGGGTTGATTCCTTCAACGCTTGTTTCATCAGCGTCCCGATAGCCGTCGCCTTCGGAATTACGACATGGACAAACGTCGGCTTGCTGAGAATCGTGCTGAAGCAATCCAGAGCCATTGCTGCGATGTCTTCAGCCCCATGCCACGCCTCGAAAGCCAAAACGACACATCAGCAGAGATCCAACAACGAGGAAACCAACCTGACCAAGAGAATCGACACTGTCATGATCGGACGAAGGCCACATCCACGTCCACGGAGATCCGCACGAAGGTTCAAAGGGGTTGTGACTGTGTTGCTTCTCCAAGCTGCTTTCTATGTCTGTTGGATTCCTGGCGTTGTGTACTTCGGTTTCAATAACCATTTCCTGAGGGATCTCTTTGATGCAATCAGTTCCTCTAGTAACTGGATTCAGCCTGTTGCATATCTGTTGAGTACTAGAGAAGCCAGAAAACTTATTCGTAACTTCTTTCGGTGATTTAAAAAAAAAAAAAATTTTGAAACACAGTTCTACACTGTTAATTCGCCCTTTTCATTAGATAAAGGAAATTATCTTAATCAAGTTTCCTTTGATTTTGTGTTTGTAATTTGGCAGCGCTTTGCCTTCAATAAAATTGGTGCACTGAAATATATTTTACTTGAACTAGCGTAGAATAGTTATGATTACTTATAATAGAAGTGTGGGATAAAATTTTATAATTTGCTTGTAAATATTAAAGAAAAATGCATTTTGTTTATTCAATTATCCCTATGTTATTAAAGCCCCTCTAAAGTGTTGGGAGCCCCATTAGGAGTTCATGCTTGGTTTAAGAGAAAATTCAATTAACCACTTTACCACGACATCTCCACAAACTGTTGACTTAATCAAAAAAGGGCTTTATTTATCATGTTTACAGTGCGCAGTAATCAAAGCGGTAGAAATGTCAAAGAAGTTAAAGAGCCAATAGAGATTGATGACTATATTTTTAAACACACCAAAACGGGTGAAGATAAAGAATCACAGTTTGTCATAAATAGTGAGATGGCTGACTATTCGAGAACTTCCGGAGAGAATTGATAGCAATGAATGAGGCGCGATTGGTATAATGCTTGCGGCTGGTCTATCAAAGGTATAGCACCGTTATTCAATTTCAAATCTGTTCAGTTCTTAGCTAAGAGGTAAATAAATAAACAAATTTGATCAAACATGATCTTTTAAAGATCATGTAGACAGTTATCATTAAAATGCTTCTTTTCGTAAATACTCGATGGGTTACACAACAGATAAACAGTTTGATTAATATGCCATATTCTTTAACATACATACTATACTGTTAGTAATCAATATAAAAGGAATTTGACGAAATGTCATGTACATACCAACTATACCCAAGCTCCAATATTTACATTCACATTAATTGACACTAGATAATTATGTCAGATGCAAGTGATGTATTATACCTCCACTCACCGATCATTCATGTTATTCCATAACCTTCTGTTTACTAGCCTTCTACGTTAGCACAACTCCCTTGTCTATTCCCCCCTCTCTCTCCCTCTCTCTCTCTCTCTCTCGAATATATCTCTTCTCCTCCCTCTTCCCCCCTCCCCCACCCCCATCTTGCCCTCCTTTCTTCTCTGCCCCTTCTACCCATTTCTTCCCATTGCTCACGCTGATACATCCATCCTGTCTAGAGTATTCTTGTCCTTCCTGTGCCCCTCTTAATTTCTGTATTTAAGATATTTCATTGAATTAAATCAAGGTGTTACGATGCTTAAATACTAAATTGTTTTTTCAAAATCTTGTCAAGCTTTCTAATCACATAAAACTTTCAGTAAATGGCAATCTGATTCATTTTCTATTTGCCAAATACAATACTTGTGAACTCATAATGTATCTCGTTTTATTGTTTAATTAAATTTAGACTATCAAATTACATCTCATTATCTGATTGATTGATTTTATATGTGTGGATCGCCCCTATTAAAGACAACTACAATTCTATGACATTTTTGGCCCGAGTTCAGGCTTCGATGGCGGTGTCGACATCGGGAGCTTTCTGATACTTGAAGTCGCCTGATGATGTCATCTTTGGACTTTCAATCATGTTGTATTCATCATTACCAGGTCCATTTAGAGGAGTTCTAACGAAAAAACCCAGGGGTTAAATGGGTACCCGGTAGGATGCGAAAGTTCATATGGTTAAACGAGCTTGTCAAATGGCGACTGGCTGGAATGCTCCCCAGGGGAGGGGAGGAAAACAAATGTGTATTTTTACATTTTTTTAACGTTAATTTTACTTCTTTTTTTGTACGGTATGCTCCTCTCCTAGGTATACAACAACTCTCACTTTCCTGTGCGTCCCTCTGAATGGACAAATATTGCCTGTAAAACAAAAATACAGCACATACTATAACATAATTTCATGTGTATTTATTATATGAAAATCAACCTTTTTTTGTTTACATCTTTGGTGAAAATTTAGCCTCCATAGAAAAATGAATTTAATCCAAAAAAAATTATATATATATATATATATATATATATATATATTCATTCAAGTACATAAAATGTCCAATGCACACTAAAGATGACATTTCACTTACATGAAAATCTGATGTCTTGATTTTGTTTACATTTTATATCATTTGACTGTCCCTTGCTCCCAAGTCTGCAAAACGCAATACATTCAACACAGCCAGAGGCTTTCAGCATGTATTCTCAGTGTGAAATTTTGCTCACTTGCTCAGTACATGTAAATCAAATCATGATATGATCCAAAGGGAACCTCATAAATATATAATGCATTAATCCAGTTTTGAGGGGGTATCACTAATAGGCCATTTTCATTAATGTAACCAAACTTAACGCATAAGTCTCTGTGAAGTGCCTCAATACACGTTATTTCATTCACCTGATAAGAATAATAGAATTTCAATAGTCAGAATGCAAACTGCACATATTAAGTGTTGCTAGGTAGGTCAAGCCATAATGTTTGTCCAACCTGGCAACAACTAATGTATGCAATACGGATTCTGTCTATTGAAATACTATTATTCTTTTTAGGTGAATGAAATAATATGTATTGAGCCACTGCACAAAGACTTATGCATTAAATTTGGTTACATTACGAAAATGGCCTATTCATTCATCCTTTAACCATATCCTGTCCTTAATGGTATGATCAATACCATTTCAAGAGCAGTGTGACCCTTTAACCTTCAGTCTTATTCCTTTGGTTTAGCTTCTCTCCACAACACGAAGATACAAATCATCGTCAGGTTTGAGGCTCATTTTAGCAAATTTCGGGGGGATCTGTGAGCAATGGAGGAGGGAGAGAGGAAGAGGAGGAATACAAAATAAAACTTAACAGTATGACCATGAACTACCTGTAACTATGAATACATTCTGGTAATCCATATAATCTGCAAACAAATTAATTGCAACCTTCAATAAATTGTTGTGGTATATGAACAAGAAATAATTATTGTTGACTTCACATTTGTGTACCTGGTAACAAAGAAGTACACTAGAAAACTCATTTACATCTCCACTTTGCCACTTATACCCTGTACTTGTCAAAAGATTGATTTCGGAATTAGTCTGAATGAGTCTGAATGGGGCATGAAAGTGATGTTATCCTACCTGAGTCTCTGGGCAGGTCTCAAAGCGGTATTTCTGGAGAAGACGAACGGTGGCCATCTTGATCTCCATCAGAGCAAACCTCATCCCGATGCAGTTCCTAGGACCAGCACCGAATGGCATCCAGGCCAAAGGGTGACGCCCCTCCCGATTCTCCTTAGTGAACCTACATAATGGGGATGAAGACATTAAGATTGTTCTTAACACCCAATGATAGGTGTGCTCATAACTAGAATTCAGATCACCTCAGACTCACAAGTCGTTGCTCCCAAAGATAACCCCCGTCAACCTCTCCACCCAAACCCTATGTCACCTCAAGTGTAACAAGTGATTCAGAGTCTTTGCAATAAATATAAAATATGAGCGAAATGTCATGAAGTACTAACATAATCTATTCACATTCTTCCAATCCAATCCTCTTGATCATAACAAAACCTTGATCTTCAACCAGAGTTAACTTGAATCTACAGAGACCAGTGCATGGAAAGTCAGGAAACTTCCAAACTGCATTACAGCATCTCTCTCTCTCGAAATTTCCCCATATAGTTACCTCCTCTCAACCCAAGTCTAGTAGCCCTCCTCTACATGCACATCTATAGCTAAAAACTTACCTTTCCGGGTCAAACTTCTCTGGATCGGGCCAGATTGCAGGGTCACGATGGATGGCATAGACAGGGAAAAAGATTTGACTATCTTTAGGGATGGTGAGGCCATTGCAGACATGGGTTTCATTACACTGTCGTTCAATTCTGAAATAGGAATAGAGGTAATGCAGGTATAGTGGATACATCAATAGACTAGAGAGCACAAGGTACATGGTTCAATTGCCTACAATGGCACTAATGTCCTGTGGCAAGACAATAATCTGAGTAATGTACATTTACCACACTCCACCCAGGTGTAATAACTGAACACCTTGAAGGAGCTATCCAATTTCTATTTTGCCAACTATACAGTACTACTGCTCTGTTACCTTGACTTTGTAGATTTAATCTTAGTTTAATTCTCCAGGCAGTTTATATTTGTCTATAATACTCACATAAGGCCTGCAGGATAGAGCCGAAGAATCTCACAAACAACGTTGTCCAGATAGGACATCTTTGCAACGGAGTTATAGCCAACGTCGTCTCTAGCCGGGGTTTCGTTATCAATTTCTTCAATGAGTTTGTCTTGAACCTCAGGATTAGTAGCCAGGGAATAGGTCAGGAAACCAAGCGTTGTGTTGATAGTGTCATACCCAGCCAGAAAGAAGAGCATAGCCTAGTAAATGCAAAGGAGAGAGCTAACATACACTATTTTGCATTTAAGTGCCAACTTTAGGAGTTTCTATGTGTCGTAGTTCACTCACAGCAGACTAGGTAGAATTCCAAATTACTGTATATAAAGAAAAATCTCACAAAGCAAAAAGTCCTGAGAACAACTGAGTGCATGGCCAAATATATTTATATAGAGAGCATTTAATTTGGTTGGGAGAGCGATTTATTTTGATAAACGTTCCTCCCAGGATGGAATCTTCCAAGTACATTACGTAAGACCGGTCAGTTATAAAACCAAACAGAAGGAGTTATCATTTTGCCATCTGGGAGAACTGAACTGGCAGATATCGTGTAATCACCCCCCCCCCCCCCCCCCCGTAGAAAATCACTATGATCTGACTGTAAAAGACAATTGGAAGGACAGTCAGAAGAAATCTTTGGTATGTCAAAAGTAGAAAAATATATTGAAACATGACTGACTTGATAAATATAAACATGCTTAAAATGGGAAAAGGATTTTTCTGAAAGAATTTGTATGGACTACCGGTATAGTATATTGATGGAGAATAGCATGATACAATCATACCTGTCCGTATATCTCATCCTTTGTCAGAGTTGTCTTCTTACTCTTCTTCAAATCAAAGTAACTTTTGTTGTCCTGGTCTTCAATCAAAGCATAGAGATCACCTTCTACTTTCTCGTCCTGCGGTTTCTCTTCTATCATCTCCTTCTCTGATTTGTTCTCCTGCGCTGCATTCAACATGAGCTGAAGGAAGTCTTTCATCTATTATTAAATAGGTCATAGTATAATTCAAGGAAAATAATGGTGAGAATATTATTGTTGATATGAGGAAAGCACTGGAAGTACCTGGGCTATATTCAATACGTGGATGAAGCCAGTATTTGATTAGCATTGGTACGGCTAGTAAAATGACTTATTTCATATACATGTAAGAACCACATAGAAGCATTTTTACTTTAGCAAGCTGACTTTAAAGCAAAATACTTATTGATTATCATTGTGATGTCACATGGTCGATCCAAAATAATTCAAAATGAATGCATCATAAATGAATGCTAATATAATTGTGCACAGCTTATGATGACTGCATATGAAAACCATATCCCTGCAAACCAAGGCCTCCAAAATAATAGGCTTATGTCTGCTTGGGAGCTGTCTTAAATTTTAAAAAGAGTATGTAAGCTTTAATAGCCAAAAGAGTCAACTGAATAACAATTTGTGTCTTAGTATTTTATCTATTCCCCCGGCCAAACTGAGTAAAATACTTTTATTTCTGAAATAAGTATTGAATTGAGAAGAGAGGGGAAAATGAGGGCAAAACACCTTGTCCGAGGAATTTGTGTAAGCACCAAGCAAGGAGTGAACCCAGTATATCTAGTATGAGAGTTAGAGGCTTTATCAATACATCACCACAGTGGAAGCACAGTGGTGTTTACTGATTAACCAAGAATACATGCCATTGGCACTTCCTTACGGTCTTATTATTGCCCTAATAATATGAACCACATACAGAAATTGTATTAGCTAATCAGATCTAAAACACAACTATAACTGTAAGACCCATCTTTGCAAATTCTTCATCAATTTTACAAATTAAAAACATATGCTGTTTCAAGTTAAAGTACACAACCATTAAAACACTATTTACAGAACAAAACCCATTCTATCATGGACGTGTAAATCTATCAAGAGGCAGTTCTTTCCAAGCTATAATGATAATAACAATATTCGGCTTTTTTATAGCGCTTAATACATCAACGATGTGTCTAAGCGCTTTACAGATATATCATACAGCTAGGTACCTTTGAGCCCCCACTCTCCTTGCGAGCAGCAATAGCTTGATCAACCACAGATATGAAAAAGCTCGAAACTTCAGGTGGCAATGTGCTGACTTCAAAGTAATCCATTATTTTGCCAATTCTAGGGAATATTCCTGACAAAAAGAAAAAAACCCAAGGGATCACTATCATGATTAAAATGGAAGCAATATCTACAGCATTCAATTTTGAATGATAACACTCAATTCAACTGTTAGTAATTTCAAATATTTCTATGTTGTCCAAAAAAAGAAAATGTTTGGAATATGAAAAATGCACCCGATGGCAATAACTTGTCATTATAAAGGAACTTTGAATATGATGGCACATCTACTGCGGATGATCAGTGATCGATTTAAAGTAAAATATTCACCCATCCCTTTTTTTTTTCACAATACAGAGTATACTCTGTAATCACCAAAGATATACCCTCAATTTAGCATAAAATATACCAAATAAAATTCATTAAGGCAATGTTACTTGAAATAACAAAAAAAAATATAATGATACAGAAAATCTATCATAAGCTTAACAAATGAGGGGTACTAAATCATATTTGATTGCAATAGGATGCATGATGAATATAAATGAAAATCAGGTGCTCTGTCTCAGAGGATAAGGGTGTCCACATTGACTACACAAGGTCTTTTGTGTATTGTACAATGTGTTCTGGGACAAAAACAATGATGATCCCATTATAGTGATCATCTAACATTTTCTTTTGATTTCAATAGTTCATTACATTAAAGAATGAGCTATTCATAGTCATTATACTTTACATCCCAGCTGAAGTTGGTTTAATTACGATGCTATTTCAACTCACCAGCAATCACAAACTTCAAAGCGAACCTGTTCTTCATCAAGTCCTTAGCATGGGTGACAAACGGATCACTGGGGTCGTTCTGTGAATCTACTTGTATTCCAAATGCACACTTGGCAATTCCATCCATTGTGAAAGCTTCAAATAAACTAGAGAAAGAACAAAAATGGGAAAGTGAGAAACCATACTTAATTTCATAGGGACAACTTGGTTATGACAAGATGCAATTGGACTTAAATAACTTCAAAATCAAGTAAGCATTCACTGGCTTATGATTTGTCATGACCTGTCATTATATGATACTTGTTCTACATGTATATCTGGCTAGTGGATGACAGGTGTGTTGAATTGTGTCAAGCCCTCCAAATGTATCACCAATTTCTCAAACTGGCCAGTCTAGCTACATGTAGTTCTGAGTCCAGCTACACACACATAGAGCTAAACAGAGTATCAAAATCATCAAAGTTTGTTTAGACTTGACCATTAAATAATCATAAACTCTTCATTTCACCTAATAGGCTTAATAAAGACAAAGAAAAACAAACTACTCGTTCTACTAAGGATTTGGTGCTGTTTGGAAGCATAATATGCAACAAAAGAGTTCATTTTCAAAAGAGATTATTCTAGACTATTCAAGGTTTCACATTACAATGATTTATCATGAGCTTACCTAAATACTTTCACGTTGCCCTCCTTCTCCTGAATCGCTCCAAAGTTTTTCACCAAAGTGTCACTGGATTCATTGAGTAATCCCGACAGCTGCATGATGGAATTCACAAAGATAAAAGGTACGCATTATAAAGGATGTTTTACAGATCTATATGCCACGATCATATAATAAAATTACTTCAACTTCCAATAGTCATGCCTTCCATTTCCTCATACATGATATAATCATTTTCCACAAAATTCAGATGAATAATGCACTGCACAAACTGACCTTGTGTCATTTTCTTTTTCAAAATCAGAGGCAGGAGTTGGGTCTGAAAAAACCCTATAATTTGTCTTTTCCCATTTGTTATATTAATAAAAAGTATTAGAAATAAAATATCATGTGATATGACAATTGACTAATGTTCCTTTATTTTATTCCTAATTGATGACCACATAAACTTTCGAAACAGTTTCTTTACAGACAGACGTAGGCTATAAATAATTATGTATCAGATACGCTTTACATCAGATTTTCGTTGTACCATATGTTATTCCATGAAAAGATACCTGTTTCATCTTGACTGCGCTGAAGGTTGGTGTAATGACATTTCTCACATCCTTCCAGTGCTGATCTTTTAGGCCTATTAATGCCTTGTCAAATGGCCGAGACTTCAACACAAATGTCTGAAAGAAGAAACATGAATCTTTTAAGATGGAATTATCCAAATATTAAATCAATGACATCATCAAGCTAATATATTAGTTTTGTAATCCAAGCAATATATTACCAAATGATGATTCTCCATGCAATGACCGTCGAAGCAGGCTGAATAATTCCTATACCAAAAATAATCCATTCTAGTTGTTGTAAAAGAAACTAGATGGACCTCCGACCGCGCGCAGTCGAAAATGATGCCTCCGCCATGGAGCAATTTTGCAAACCAAAACAGAAGCGAGCTATTTTTGCAAACATAATGAGCCCTGTGACCTTTGACATTTGACCTCGTTATCCCAAAATCTAATCAGTGCATTAACTCTGCAAGATAAATACATGACCCAAGGGTGGGGGGGAATCCATCAATTGGTTCTTGAGATAACGCGATCACGAGCTAGGTTTGCATACATAATGAGCCCTGTGACCTTTGACCTTGGATCTCGTAACCCTAAAATCTAATCCGTAATTCATTGGCTTTGCAAGATACATACATGACCCAAGTTTGGCGGGAATCCATTGATGGGTTATTGAGATAACGCGATCACGAGCTATTTTTGCATACATAATGAGCCCTGTGAACTGTGACCTTGGATCTCGCGACCCCAAAATCTAATCAGTTCCTTGGCTCTGCAAGATACATACATGACCTAAGTTTGGCGGGAATCCATCAATTGGTTCTTGAGATAACGCGATCACGAGAACGGAACGTACGGACGTACTTATGTACGGACGGACGGACGGTCGACAACCCAAAAACATAATATAACTAGATTTGTCATACTTGTTTGGAACAAGTATAGGTGGACTGGTCCGACTAAAATTTGAGACAAAATGAAGGGCACATTTGAGATAGCTTATTGTCTTAGCTACAACATACTTGAAGTTCAGCGTAAACGAAGTTAAAACGACGGAGATATTGCTCGCGAAAGACGGGAATGTAGAATCGAGTTTTGAGAAAAAATCATGTCCCATAGAGAATACACGCAACATTTGAAAAATTGACATTCCTCCTTTAATCGCAAAAATACGCCATGATGCTTTTGTCAAAATGAAAAATTGTGATGACGACATTTGGGGCCAGTCACCACGAAATGAGTCCAGTGTCGCATTAGGCTCAATCGTAGTAATAGCGATGTATAGTGTGTATGTACTGAAAATTGACCCACCTACCACATTTAAGATTTTTCCAAAAATCGACTTATTAATGTCTTGTAGTTTATGTCCCCAGAGCTTAGGTCACGGAAATATCTCCTTCTAACATTTTTTGGCAAATGATATAGGCTATGTTACGCATCATTAACTTTACACCTAATTATCTCAAAACTGGGTAATCCCATTGTTTATAAAGTCCAATTAGATTTTTGTTCATATTTCTGGATATAATTTATCAATTTTAATGTGTGACCCCTTAATTTAAAGCTTACTTAATGTAGATTCATATAATACTTAAAAACAGGAATAAAATTTTTGACCAACTGGACTCATTTCGTGGTGACAGGCCCCATTTGTAGAAAATTGTCTCAGCTAGAACATATCAAAATTTGGAAGAAAATTGATCAATATTATTTTACAGAGATACAATCAATTTTCCCAAAATATGCTGACATCATAATTGAAATTATGAGTTCGGAGGCCATTATGATGACGTCATGAGAAAAGTGAGGGTCAAATGAGACTTAAAATCATATTTCCAATTCATATTCTATCACAATAAGAAGAAACAAATTGGGGTCACCTTGCATCCTAAAGAGCTACAATGGATTTTGTATAGGCATGTTTTTGCCCATATATGCTATGTAATACAAGAGCTCGCGTGCACGGAAATTTATGTTAAACGGTCGATCATTCCGTTATTAATAGTCATAAAGAGACAAACATGGTATCAATTTGTTTGTAAAAATATGTGGAATATTATGAAAGAAAAAACAATGGCGATTCTATGTTGTGTAATAGTTTAACGCGCGAAAAACGAGCGCGCATGCGCGTATGGGCGATTTTATATAAAATGCTTAGAATGGCCTTAAACGTATGCAAACTTATTTTGAGACGATTTTGAGCATTTTAAAATTTTGCGCGCGCATTGACGCGTGGACGTACCTGCAATTGACCGGACGGATATTGACCTTGATCATGATAAATATGAATGAGAAATATCCTTTGGTTATGAAGATATGATCATGTGTTGACTTTCGTAAAATTTTTACAAAATGGCGCCTAGATGACGTCATCAGTGAAGGTCAATGTTGAAAACGTTATTGTGCTTTGTACATATGCCTATACATGTACATATGTGTGCCAAATTTGAAGGCATGTGATTGAGCCATTTCCAAGTAATCGTGCTTACAAAAAAGTGGTTCGAAATAAGAAAAATAAAGAATAAATAAATAAAGGCAATTCTAACGAAATTATAAGGTGGTCTGTACGATATACAGCCCACCTGATAAAAGGAAAGGTAATAGAAAATTAAAAACTAAAAGAAGGGGGAGAAAGATATTGGTACAGATTGAGCAAAACTCATAAAAGTTTCATACATGTAGCATGAATTTCTAACCACAAAAAAGGTAAGTTCTTCTAAATGAAGTCAGTTTTGAAAACAAATTCAACCACTTGCATCCTTATGGTAAGAGTGAGGGAATTGTCTCACAGAATTTCAGACAACGTAACTTGACTATGACCATAAGTCTTCAAAGCTATGGGCCTACTTATATTATGTAGAGGTTCCACTCTATAAAGTTACCTTGTGGTTCATGAATTTGCTGAAGCTCTTGACTGCGATATCCTTCACCATGTCAAGGTCACTTATGAAGAACACAGGCGACGAAAACATGAACATGCTGGAAATGTAAAATATTCAGAACAATATAACATTCAATGGACTTTAGATAATGGACACTAAACATGTAAATATTGGTAAGAAGGGTTGTTAGAAAAAAAATAACATTTTGACAAATGCATTTTTTTCTCCCTTATGCAATTTTTTAAACAAAATGTTATACAGTGCGTCCCAGAAAAAACGAAACCGAGAAGTATCAATGTTTTATCATAACTTAATCACAACCATTATTAATGAATGATACATATTTGGAAAGCTTAGAGTCTCCTCTTTCAGTTGATGCTACTCACGTGATGCATATTTCAGGCATGAGTGATTAAAAACAATTTGAAGGAAGGAAACCAAAAAGTAATTTGGCGGGCGGTATCTGAATTTCAAAGAAAAATTCATATTTCTAGAAAGTTCATTTTCTGCTCTTTCATATGATACCTCAATCAAGAAAAATGAGCCAGGAATAACAAAGTTCTGTTTGTTTAAAGTAGCCCTTACATTTTCATAATTTTAACAAACGAATTCGTTTTCACTGGGTGCCTGCCGTAGCAAAAATCAGATTTGACAAAAGACTTAACTCCGTTTCGTTGACAATCAGCCATGCATGAAGACTCTCGTCTACGGCTGATTGTCAACGAAACGGAGTTAAGTCTTTTGTTACTTTTGTTTATTGATACGGCAGGCAGCCAGTGAAAACGAATTCGTTTAATAAAATTATGGAAATGCAAGCACTACTTTAAACAAACAGAACTTTGTCATTCCTCGCTCATTTTTCCTGATTGAGGTGTCATATGAAAGGGCAGAAACTCAACTTTCTAGAAATGTGAATTTTTCTTCGAAATTCAGATACCGCCCGCCAAATGTCTTTTTGGTTTCCTTCCTTCAAATTGCTTTGAATCAGTTATGCGTGAAATATGCATTATCTGAATAGCATCACATGAAAGAGGAGACTCTAAGCCTTCCAAATATGTATCATTCATTAATTATAGTTGTGATTAAGTTATGATAGAACATCGATACTTCTCGGTTTCGTTTTAAATCACTTTGAAGTAGAAAGAACCATTGTTACATTTGAAAAGATGACTGTAAGAATTGTTTCTACAATTAGAAAAAAATGACGATAACAACAAAAGTTTAAGATATAAATCAAGTATCATATCTTACGGTTGCACCATGTGAGAGATTAATTAAGTAGTATAACAATGAAATGGTATAACTGACAACTATAAGCAATACTTTTTGTACCACTGTAAAATGGAGAACTCCCCATACAATAAGGGAATTCTAGATTCCTCTCAAATACATTTACACGATATGTATCAACGATGCCTACAGGAACTACAGTTATATCCGGGGCAGATCCAGGATTGTCCAATCCAATTAACCCTCTCCAGATCGTCTGAGAGGGGGTGGGAGCGGGGGGGGGGGATGTTGTGACACACAGAAAATATCCCTTCCTATCTATTTTCACACATAGTCCAAAAATAGGCTAGTATTTCATGTTGATCCTTTTCTTATAAGGGGAAGCTCCCTGCTCTAGATTCACCTCTAGCAATGTTTGTAAAAGAAAACAAAAATACTTACCCAAAGACATTTCCATACTTTCTGACATATTCTTGACTCTTCCAATGAATTCCCTGTGAAATAAAACACAGTAGATTCAAATGAATGGGAATTCCAACTCTCACTTATTCGTATATGTCAGACTTGTCAGATTTCTCATGACACTATTACCTTCTACATGTTATCAATCAATATGGACCTGCTTCAGCTGTCATCACAACTGATCTCTTTCAACAAAGTTCAACTTAGTAATTAATTTACCGTACTCATTTAAAAGAAAGATCATTTTAGCTCTCTTGTCACTTGTTTTGCACAGAATGACTACGACATAACAAGGGTTTCAAAATTTGGGGGAAAATTAAACACTATTATTATTTTGTTTATTATTATGCCTTTACCTTTAGACAGAGCTGAAAATGTTAATACTACAGAAATATATTTCAACCACTGTTTCTCCATATACTTACTTGAAACAAATCAATCGAGTGGCCCACAACAGGAAAAGGAATCGGCCCCTTGACTCCTTTCCGTTTGAAATATGTCATATGCCAAATTTCATACCTAATTGGATTAAAAGATTAAAAAAGGAGCTTAAAACCTGCTACATGTACATGACAACAAAAACTCATTTGTTGTTATACATCTAGGATCTTACTACATGAAATAATCAATACTTATCAGGAGCACTGGGTTAACTTTTACCCGAATGCTAAGCAAGCAAGTAAATATTTGTAGATGTTTATGTAATCAGTGGAGTTGGCAGGAAGTTTCAAGAGACCTATGCAACCCTTGCACATTATGATTACAAGACCACTGCTCAAAGAGTATGTGACTTGTCAGCTCATAATACTGTATGAAAACCTCACAAATAAATTAAAGAAACTGATGAAAAGGATTAGAGTATATAGGTTTAAACAAATTCTTTCATTCCGCCGTCGCCGTCGCCGCCGTCACCGGAAAAGCGGCGCCTATGTCTCGCTTTTTGCTACGCAGGCGAGACAAAAAGGGCAAGTACGCATTAGGAGAAAAGGAATTGTTTACCTCTGGCATTTTTACAGGCCTGTAACTAGATTTTACTGGGGGAGGAGACAGCATTATTCATTACATAAGGTGTAGGGGAAATTTGTGCATTTTTCTATCTCACAATCATGTTTTAAAGTTATGGGCCTATATATCTCTTTATCTATTTTAACTATTTAACCTGGCACCTTAACATGTTACAGGAACATGGATTGATATTTAGTACTGTCTACATGACATCAGTACAGAAGTATATAATTGATGATTGATAGCACTATATATTGCATGCTAGGGAGTTTAATTTATCTCACCCTGATCGTAGTACGTATTAATTCGTACTCCTATGAGTATGAGTATGACTACAGTACAGTACAGTATGACTACATATGGTACCGGCCGAGTATACTAGTATACGTGATAATCAATTGGACTCTATGCTTTGCTGGAGTGCTCCTTGTGGCACCACTTATCACTATGCAGAACAAACTTACCCAACAATGATGGCTACTAATGTACCAACCAAAGGCCATGAAACGGTAAACCCCAGAATAGTGAACACCATGATGCAGGATGATGGCGGTCTGATTCGTATTAAAGTAATAATCAGCTCGACAGACGACAGACAATTCTCCCTTGGCCGGGTGGAGATGAGTATCAGTATGGCGGTGTGACCAAAGTTCGCGCGTGACCAAAGTTCGCTTTCTCAAAAAATCGGTAAGATTTCGAAAATCTGATATCACCAATGGAAAGAGGGTCATAAAATTACCCAGAAACGAGATTTTCTTTAGAATTGGGTGCGAAATTGTGAAAATATTGACAAAAGATCGGCAAATTTTGCAGTTATTTGCGTCCGTTCCGAAAAATTATCAACTTACCGATAAGGGTCTGGAAATCTTCATTTTGAGATCAGAAATCCTCAAAATTGTAAGTAAAGAGTGGTCTAACTGATTGTACGATATCCTGCCTTGCAAATTATGATATTATCTTATTTTTGATGGATCGCATTTTTTGATAAATCAACTGTAAACCACCGTGCGTGAAGTTAGGTCTCATTGTTTTTATGACTTTTTTAGATGCAGGGCGCACGCACGATCGGACATCGAATTTTTAGATCGCGGTATCTCCGAAATCCTTCAACGGTAAATTTTTCTAGTTGAACCAATCTGTAGTAAAAAACTTTGCCGTCCATTTGGTAATAATTGAAATGAATAAAGTTGTGTAGAATGTGAGAAATCATAGATCGAATATCACATTTTGTAATATGTTCTAAAATGTCCGCGAACTTTGGTCACCCCTTCATACGTGAAAACACCCGACGGTGGCCTATACTGTACTTATATAGCGAAGAAGAAGAAGAAATATAGACCTAGGTCTAACTTAGTCTATTGCACAACACTGAGCAAGATTACGACTAGAACTAGAGTCTAACTTTATATTGACTTAGTCTACGAACTCCCAGTGCCTACAGTACACTATTTTAACTGTACTGCTATAGGCATAGCCACTGGCGTACGGATGAAAGGGGGGGGGGGCTAGGGAGGGAGCTTGCCGGGGGGGGGTTGGGCCCTAACCACAGTGGCGGATCCAGGGAGGGGGTGAGGGAAAGAAAAAAATGTGTATTTTTACATTTTTTTTAACGTTAAAGGTATAGATCTAGATCTATTACAAAGTTTTGGGAAATTTTAAAAAATGGGTGGATAATGATTCTTTACAATTTATATATATTTGGATGCCCCTGTGAATGTATTAAAAGTATTAGAAATTTTAGCCCCTGAAACACTTCTGTTTTCGAGAAAAATTGAATATAAAGATTTACCGGTACTCCCGGTAAATTTTGATAAATTTCAAAAAGCTCCTACGGCCGTACAATGGTAGCTGCGACCATGAAAATCTCAGAATACGTACTTGGTACTTGGTATATAATTTCCGAACGGGAATAGCTAATCGGCCGATTTTAGTTAATAAACATTGTTTTATAGCTTAATTAATATCTTGACCTTGAGAGGGAGCTATTCAACATAAAGTGTTATTATTTACAATATCATAACTTTAGAGTCGATTTCGACCGCGACAGCAACGATCAGTGAATATTGTAGGATCGCATATGCTTCCAATATGTTCATTTGAACCAAATTCATGACCCCATACCAAAACTAAAATTTGTATTACCTTTAATTTTACTTCTTTTTTTTAGATGCCCCCCCCCTGACGCTCAAGGGGGGGGGGGGGGGGAGGGTGCAATTTTTAAAATTTCACCAACAAAAATAGTGCTCACTACCCCCCCCCCCCCCCTAACTTCAATTTGAACTTTTTGTTTAGATGGACCCCCCCCCCCCCCCCCGACGCTCAAGGGGGGGGGGGGAGCAATTTTTAAAATTTCAAAAAAAAAAAAAAAGTGATCACTACCGCCCCCCCCCCTCCCAACCAAAGGCCGTGAAACGGTAAACCCCAAAATAGTGAACGCCATGATGCAGGATGAAGGCTGTCGGATTCGTAATATTCAAGTAATAATCAGCTCGACAGACGACAGACAATTCTCCCTTGGCCGGGTGGAGATGAAGAAATATATTGTACAACACTGCGCAAGATTAAGACTAACTTTATATTGACTTAGTCTACGAACTCCCAGTGCCTACAGTACACTATTTGTACTGCTATATGCATATAGCCACTGGCGTACGGATGAAAAAGGGGGGGGGGGGTGGGGGGGGGGGGCTAGGGCTAGGAAGGAAGCTTGCCGGGGGGGGGGAGTTGGGCCCTAACCACAGTGGCGGATCCAGGGAGGGGGGAGGGTTCCCCCCATGGGAAAAAATATGTATTTTTACATTTTGTTAACGTTAATTTTACCTCTTTACCACAGTGGACGCTCAAGGGGGGGGGGGGGGGGGGGGGAGGGTGCAATTTTTAAAATTTCACCAAAAAATAGTGCTCACTACCCCCCCCCCCCCCCCACCTCACGTTAATTGACCTTTTGTTTAGATGCCCCCCCCCCCCCTGACGCTCAAGGGGGGGGGGGGGTGCAATTTAAAAAAAATAGTGCTCAATACCCCCCCCCCCCCTTACGTTAATTTGACCTTTTTGTTTAGATGGACCCCCCCCCCCCCTGACGCTCAAGGGGGGGTGCAATTTTTAAAATTTCAACAAAAAAACAAAAAAAATGATCACTACCGCCACGATCACTACATTTCATTGTAAAGAGCCTTCTCGAAGATGTGAACCCCAATCTCGACTCTAAACAGTTTGGTAGTAGATCAGGCATGTCCACCAGCCATTGCCTGATTGATATCATAAATTTCCTAACGAACAATGCAGATAGGTTAGGGTCTGTTACAACGGTAATAGTGCAGTGGTGTGATGAAAATAACATGCGTCTCAATGTGAAGAAATGCCACACTATGAGGGTGTACTTTGGTATAAGACTGACCTACTCCCCTTAAGCGTAACACTTGCAGATCACTCTTTAAACCAGGTTAAATCAGTGAAAATACTTGGGGTCACCCAGTGGCGGATCCAGCCGGCGGGAAGAGGGGGGGCCCAATCCGTGAGAAAATATTAGTTGCGACCCAGCCACCGGTGAATAAGCGGGGGGGTTAGACCACTATTTTTTTTTTAATTCTTGTTGTTGTTGACCCGTCAGTCCCCCCCCCCCCCCCCGTGGATCCGCGCCTGCAGAGGATCCAGACGGCGTCAAGGGGGGGGGGATAGCCAAATCTTCACACAAAATTTAGTGCCGACTCAGCCAGCCGGCGAATAAGCGGGGGGGGGGGGCTTTTGTTTTTTGATTTATAAAGGTTTTTTTTTTCGTTTTGGGGGGCTGGGGGGGGGGGGGGGGGGGGGCTGGAATAATCGCTACGTGGATCCGCCCCTGGGGTCACGGTACAATCAGATTTGAAATGGGGAGAACATGTTCAAGAAATGGTGCGTAAAGCAAACAAGAGATGTTAAGCGCCCTACTTCCGTTTCGGATCCCAGTCTGTGATTTGTTGACCATTTATACAGGTTTCATTCGCCCCCTTGTCGAGTATGCTACCCCCGTTTGGCACCCAGGTCTTACCTTTTTCCAAACTAGTCAAATTGAGAGAGTGCAAAAACGTGTCCTTCGTTTGATCATGGGATCAGCTTATTTATCTTACGATGAAGCACTGGACTACACACGTCTTGAGAAACTTGAAGTTAGAAGGGATCATCTTTGTAAGAAATTTGCCCAGGCCCTTACGAAATCTATCCACTTCAATAGCTGGTTACCCCTTAGGAGACAACATGAAGGTTCCCGATCACTTTGAAATAAAATCCACTACGTACAAATGCGATGTAGGACAGAAAGTTACAGAAAAAGCCCCATCCCTTTCTTGATTGACATACTAAATACCTCATGAAAAGTATAATAAGAGTGTTAATAATAATCATATGATTGCCTTTGATGAGTTTGTTTTGTTAAAATTCATTGATGATATCAAGATTGTGAATATTGGTGAAAATTGTTATCGATGTATATAGTTATTATGGATGATGTTCGGTTTACACATACCTTAGATTTGGATATTGATGAATCTTGACTTTTTCTTTCACCTCCTTCCATTTTCTCTCTTTTACTATATTACTCTTTCTCTCCTTCTGTTATTCCTTCTCTCACATACTACCTTTTCTATCTTATTCCTCCCCTATCTCTCTCTCGCTCTCCCACTTCAAATACATATTATGATATACACATCTGCCTTCGCTTTTTTATTGCCTTATTCCTCGCATCCAACATACTACATATATATATGATGTTTTAAATGTAAATAATAGCCTATTTGTATCTATTTGTGGACTCTGTATAAGTGTACATGTATAATTTATCTAATTTCACTTTTAAGTATTATTTTAAGCATACAACCTTTTTAAATGATGAACTGTATTTTAATGTTACAATATTCACTTATCAATATATCATGTATTCGTTGTACCTGGTTTGCTCTCTCATCTGACGATGAAGCATTCAAAAACACCTATATCTATTTATACCTATTTCTGGCTTTCGTCACTCCTGATTCTTAGTTTCTCCCTTATGGTATTTTTTCTTCCAACACTATAGTTCTTCCTCTCTGACTCCCTCCTTTTTTCTCTCCCTTCTTGATTCTCTCTCTCCCTCTCTCAATCTGACAACTATTAATCTAAGTGCCTTTATACCATCAGATAATCCTAGCTATTTCGGTTTAAATTGTAAAAGAATATTAGTTAAATATATTGTGTTACTAATTTTGTATGCAGTTATTATTTTGTGTAATGCTTTTTACAATGTTCATTATAATCTGTTTTTATGTCAAAGATTTGTATTAAAAAAATCGTGCATTTCAGCCTTTAGGCTGCATTGTGATTTTTGAATAAATAAACCATTATATATACTATTTTCTGAATATTGTATTTTCATAATTATTGATATTTATATCAATAGTTTATCAAAATCACATTTTTCATGATTTAACTGAGAGAAGAAAAAAAATCTATATTAGTGCATCCACACAAAAACATGTTACTATCAATCTAACTTGGATGCTGGTGTGAAGAAATAAGATTCTTAGGGGGGAAATAGGAAATTTATATTATCAATATAAAGAAAATAATTGGTGGATAGTAAGGACCATACGTCACAGGCTCATGAGTAAGTTGCCCATTTGTGTAGTGATTTTTAAAGTTTTTCATGTCATTAAACTACTTTCTTATTATTTATCCCATTTTGCTCAAACTATTTTTGATTGGTTTGTCTGATTTTTCTGATTCTATTGAAAGTAACTTACTTTTGGAGTGGACTTAGCCTTTAAGAGGGGCTTTAACAATAAATTAGAATTTAGAAACATCAACATGCACTTTCATACACAGCCTAATAATCTTAATCAAAATTTGTAGGCTTATATATTTTCATGCTGGAAATCGTAGGCCTAAAACTTATCATATAATCATCTTTTTCCATTCATAATAAACTATGATTCAACTTATCCCAATCACGCCTGCAACATTTAAAATGAATAATTAGGCTATGTGTGAAGGTCTATCAAGATTCTTATAGTTACATAACCTATATAGGCTATTATAACGCTTGTATACACTTTTTCAAGTAAAAAATTGCATGTGTATCCACACTTTCGTGCAGGTAACCATAGACATGCACTAGGTCACTTAAAACACAGGTACACTAAATCACGCAATATCATTATAATAACGTGATTATCCCTACCTTGGAGACCATGGTTTGTAAACATAATACTACCGTTTTTGTTTGGTGGTGAAATTACATCTTCATTAACGAAATTATCACATTCTTTAGAAGATTTAGAAACGCGTCACAGATACAAAAATATCTGCGTGAAATTCACGTGAATATTACGAGGCTGACTTGAGATGAATCATGTTCTTCATTCACGTGAAATTTACGTCGAAGAGGAAATATGTTACTGTAACCCGCGTTCAATCCCAAAATTACGCAAATGTTACACAATAAATTAACCAAAATAATGACGTTCTCATCCCGTTTTCGAACATCGTGTTTTGGATCTTCCATAATTACGTCCAGGCACGCCGGAAGCAGTTTAGGATAAGAGGGGGGTGGGGGTACAAACATCCCAGAAGAGAAAGCCAGTTGCAACTGGTCAAGTTGATACCCTGGAAAATGAAATGGGCTAAATGATCCAGTTGATCCAGGCCAGATAGAATTCATACTCATGTCACTAAGGAGAAGAATGTTCAACCAATGCATTCTAACAACTATGACATATGGATCAGAAACATTGACAAAGGATCTAGAACAGAAGCTTGTGACTACACAACGAGATATGGAGAGAAAGATGTCGCATTTATCTCTGCGAGACAAAATCAACCACAAAGTCATACGCCAGAAAACAAAGGTTAAAGACATCATGGAGAAAGTCAGAGAATCAAAGTGGAGATGGGCTGGGCATGTAGCAAGACTTCAGGACAATTAATGGACAAATCGTTTCACAATGGCAACCAAGGATGGGAAAGAGAAGAAGAGGAAGGCAGAAGAGAAGATGGAGAGATGACATAACATCATACATGGGAACGGCCGCTTGGACTAGGACAGCTAGAGACAGAAGAGAGTGGAAATGTTATGAAGAGGGCTTTGTCCAACGTCTGGATGAACTATAGCCTGATAGATAGATAGATAAAAAGTTAGAATTCAACTGGTCTAGCTGAGCCGTTAGAACCATTTGGTAAAACTAAAACTTCCAACCAGTTGAACGACAACAACACTTCAAAACTGATACGTCTGTATTTCCAATGTAAAGGCATTGGTAATATTAAGTAGACTTACATTTTTAAAAAAAATCGAAACTTTTTGATATACTTTTATTTTATTGAAATTATTTTAGTTCATAGTAAATGTAAGTTATACGAAGTAGCGAAATGTCCTAATAACTGGTAATTTATATTTGTAGTATTTTCGAAATGAATTGCATATAACTAACTCATCAGTAATTAAGAAAAATGCTGTAAATTCAGATAAATTGTTTTAAATATATAGATCTGCACGCACCCCATATTGCATAAGCAAATTAATCGGTGTCAGCTGGTTAAACTGGAAATATGCCAACAGTCAGTCATCAACTGGTGCAACTGGAAATATGCACAAAGACCAGTTATCAACTGGTGCAATGAAAATATGCCAACAGCCACGGGATTATCACCACGGAACTTAAATGGTAACTGTGAAACCATCAAGACACCCAAGAATAACTTATTGTTCACACCTAACATATTGCTCCGATTGTCTCATTTTCGCTCGCTGGAACATTAAATTGCCAGCACAAACCACTGACCTTTACCTCATGGACGGATCATCGCCCATTCCCATTCACTATACGTTACGTACTTAAAGGCTGTATTGTCTGACCGTTCATGAACATGTGAATATTCATGATTTTGCTTACCTCGGCAAAATGTTTGCTTTTACTAAATGGAAAAATTACAGTGGGGGGTTGGATGAAATAGACATAATGACCAAGCAGAAGTGATCTATGATAATTCATGCTTCTTATCCTTTGTGTACTTGACCTATAATCTTAAAATCGCTTGGCAAACTGAGTCCAAAGTTCGACTTGTTTCACATGTGTATTATAGGCAATGACGAGCTTGCAACCTATTTTGATCAAATTACGGTGGGTGAACTTTCAAAAGTCAATAGGGCATGAGGGTTCAAATGAAAGAGCTAGTGATAACGTACGTCGGGGTGGATGTGCTTTTCGTTTGAACAAAAAATGAATTTTTAACGATTTGGGGGGGGGTAAAATTCCATAGGCTATAATACAATTTGGCCTTCTATGAGAAATAAAAAACGTAAAAAACGTTAAGAGGACACCAAATTGTCCTCCTAATGATAATGTCTACTTAATGAATCATTTTCTTACTCCAAAAATATATTTTACTAAAGGCGTCATTAGAGGGACATTTGGAGTGACAAAATGACTCATTAAGTAGACTTTATATATATATATTACACAGTCGGAATAAAAGCGTGGCAGCACAATACCGTCGTACTGTTTTTATTTATATACTTTATAGAGTACTGTTACTTTGGTTAATTCAAGTTATGTTATAAAGCTGTATCATGTTAAAAAGGCACTCCATTTATGCAGTTAGTACATGTATAATATATACATGTTTTATGATAAACGTGATAAAAAAAATAAGATTTTTACTGCGTCTCTAATTTTGTTACATGAAATTGATCTTATCATGACTGTGGCTGGTCTTTCAAAGGTATAGCACCGTTATTCGATTTCAGATCTTTTCAGTTCTTTAAGTTCTAGCTATTGTATTAGCTAAGAGGTAAAGAACTAAACAAAAGTACATGTAGATAGTTTTTATTAAAAATCGTAAAAACTCGATGGGTATCATGGGTTTAATACACAACAGATTAACAGTTTGATTAATATGCCATATTCTTTAACATACACACTATACTGTTGGTAATCAATGTATACAATGGTCTGTTATTATGTCAGTGTTTATTTAATTCAACCCATAGTAAATAACAATCAGATTATTCATATTTTTCAACGTTTAATTGTTGAATTAAAATTTAGACTATCATCTCATTTTCTGATTGATGTTGTTATTTTATTTGTGTATCGCCAGTAGGCCAACTACAATTCTGTAACATTTTCTGCCCGAGTTCAGGTTTCGATGGCGGTGTCGACGTCGGGAGCTTTCTGATACTTGAAGTCGCTTGGTGATGTCATCTCTGGACTTTCACTCATGTTGTATTCATCATCACCAGGTTCATTTAGAAGAGTTCTAACGAAATAAAATCCGAAACCGTAGAAAATGTTACATTTCAGTTCGTGACTTAGTTTAAGCTGGGTAAAGCTGTTTCACAAGGGGCAACGGATAATAGTAAAGTGGTGAAACGGAATATTATCATATACACGGCATAGGTAAACAGAATATTTAGAATAATAATTATCTCGAATCTGTTTAAGTTAAATCCTTTATTTATTGATTCGTATAACATAGGGGTTGTAAGTCATAAACTTACTTGGTATGCGCTTTGTTACATGTGTATATGCGACATAGAATTGAGATTGATACATGTTATTGTTGTATTCAACAAAATATGTCATGAAGAAATATGTATTGAGGTAAAGCAGTAGAAATTGTATACAATTGAAGAAGGATCTCCCTGATAATAGTGTTTGATTTAAACAGAGCGTAGAGATGAACTATCAGTTCTGTCATTTGTTTGTTCAGTCCTTACCAACACGTACTAGCATCATCATCATTTTCATCGTAATTTACCATAATATAATCAAAATTATCGACCATCTATTCATATTTCTTTAATTCCTTTTATTATTAATAATAATAATAACAATAATAATATTCATAACAATATATAAAACAATACTACTACTACGAATACTACTACAACTACTACTAATAATAATGCAATACTAAGTTGTAATAATAAGTCTTGATTACCCAGGGTAGCCTCATCAGTATAACCAAATATCCCTTTGAGCTATGCAATCATAATTAATCATTTTGATTGCATCCTCATTTTCATCATCAATAAAAATCAAGGATCGTGGGGGGGGGGGTTAAGATCTTCCCGTGCAAACTCGACCGATCACAATTATTCCTTATGAAGAGGTTTACATGTGGACTACTAACCTGCCAAAGTTCTCCCCCTCTTCGATGGTCTCTGGCACCCGCCTCCCCTTGGTTTCGGGGAGGAAGAGGGCCAGGATTCCTGCTAAAATGGAGGAGATCCCAAAGATGAGGAATGGGAGGGGTTTCCAGTAATCCCCAAGCAGGATAATCAGCGGGGAGATCATACCGGCCACCCTCGATGCCATGGCACACATCCCTAAACCAGCCGCCCTGAAGATCGGGATTAGAAAGAAAATACAGTACACCAGGTTCATCAGCTTTTACCAAGAACATTCCCTATTTATGTGCATGTTCCAATAATTCACTGGTTGATGTATACCATGTATATTCTGCAGATATACAAATGTAGGAGTTAGAGATAGACATGAAATATGTTAATTTTCAACATAATAACGCTGTTGGAGGTGTCGGGGCAGAGTGGTTCATTCTCTTGACTCTCAATCCAAGGGTTGAGGGTTCGAAGCTCAGCCCGAACAATAACGTCTATTGGCAAGGCATTAAACCGAATGTGCAACTAAAGGGGTGAGCCTACCCGGCAATTACTGGGGTAATAATAATTGCAGGAAAAGACAAGAAGAGGAAAAACAGCCCTGGTGTCGCGGCGGGACTCGAACTGTGACCCATGTGATCCACAGACCTTCGACGTATCCGTCAGACCACTAAACCTCGACGACATAAAAGTAATGCTAAGTTGGATTTCTCTGGATTCAATTATTGAACTTTTACATTTAAATTTGTTTTCCTATCTATTACGCATAATGTGTAACAGAACTATAGCAATAAAGCAATATAGTCCAATAAATAGAAATAACAACTATACCTTTTCACTTAAATAAAGATTAAAGTATAAACATGATGAAAACTGTTAACATATTTAGAGAAATCGAAAATCACAACAACAACAAAATTACCTGATAGGTGTCGGGAATATCTCAGCAGGATACAAGTAAGCGATGGCGAACGATCCAGCGATACCAAATTTCCCGATCATCGCAACGGCTACCCGTCCTGGACCGGCGGCTTTGGGTTTAATAGGAAATCCATGTAAAGGTTAATGGTTTAAAAAAAAAGAAAAAAAAAGGCAACAATAGATAACAAAAAAGAATCATACAACGAAATATATCTAAGAAACTTTAAAGCAAATAACCAAATAATTTGTGAAAAATAACCCCCTCCCCCATCATTTTAGAGGTTATAATAATTGGATTGTCTTTACTATATACATGCGACTTTTGAACATAAATGTAACATCCAAATCATAATAAAGGAAGTTGCAATTTTTCGATCTGCAGATAAGATGAGAGAGAAAAGACCTGCCATATTCGAATTATAATCGACGAGAAATAATGGAGAAGTTTCAACCAAACTTTCGCGCCACATGTGCGTGTTCCCCAAATACTTATTTCAGCGTGCAGTGCATGATATTTTTAGCAAGATTGAGTCGATTTCTTTTCATTTTGATCAATCGAAAATCTCGCAATTATTTTTCTTATTATCTTTTCCCATTTCTTTCAGACAGTTTCTGCAACATACATTGCCTGAACAGGCCCCTGTCTTATAAACAGTGGCGCCCAATCGCAATTTATTTGTACATAAGAGATAGGAGACTGCAACCATGAAATTGATTAGAGGACTTGTGATTCATTCGGATCAATCGCAACTCTTTATATTACAGGGCCTAATTGTCAACTCTATCGAACAGATGTGTATTGGCACATTTTCGCGAGGGCGTTGACACGTTTTGTCCGAACCAACACTCCCGTTTATAAATGTTTCGCTCACGCGAAGCGAGTGTTCACAAATTTTGAAACTTTTGATTGTGGTGAGAAATTACATATTCCGGCTACTCCTGCCCGAATATGAAACTATTTGGGCATCTTGCTGGCCAAATATAATGTGGATATTCGAGGGAGGTGCCCGACTTTTTGCGCATACGTTGCGTTTTCGGACAGTTGATTCGACAATATTATAAAAATGAATATCTTTCGTTGAATCAGAAGGCAAAAGAGAAAGCTTTATGTTTGTTAACTGTCCGGACATGCCCCCTCCCATCACACATCTATGACTGGATGATCTCTAAACACTCACGTATGAAGATGGTGGCAAGACAGGCAATACCACCGGCTATCATGTAGGAGACAATCATGGGCCTTCGACCAAAGTACTCGATGCCAAAGAGCACGGAGGTGTATGCGGGGATCTCGACAGCTCCAGAGACGAAGAAAGCGAGGTAGATGTCGACACCAAGAGAATCTGTGCTCAAGCTCAACCCGTAATAGACAAGCGTGTTAACGATCCTGAGTAGATAATATTGATAATGACGATTATGATGCTAACAGTAATAATAATAATGATAATAATGAAAATAACAATACTATTGATAGTGATAATAACATAATTTAATTGTGATAAATAATAAGTACCACAATAACAGCAACACGGTGATGATAATGATAACATTGCAAAAAGATGAAGAAACGGAAAGGAGACGATTTTTGTTAAAGGTTTGGAATTCATGTTTTAGTACATGTACAACTATATTACTCTTGTGCGAAAACGATTCCGATCCATAAACAACACATCATTACTACTTACCAATTGAAAATCAAGTTAAGCGTATTTCGACGGAGCCGTGGAGTGCGGAATAGATCGAAGACATTAGGCTGTCGCCCAGTGTTTCCACCGCTCTAAAAGAGATGGAAAATGAAATATAGCATTTAAAACAACAACAACAAAAATTGTAATTTTTTTAACCACATTTTCTCCCCTTCTGATGGTGATTGGCCATTAATACAGCATGGCAATTAACCATTATATTATATAGCGCATCTTTTATAAATCTACTTCGTTCGATGTGAAGTTTTATATTATACCCACGGCTTTAGATCCGCCATTTCAATGTGTTTACTACCTATCGGGTATCCATTAACTTCACCTAGGTAAAGAGAGAGAAATGTATGTTTTGCCTCAGGACACGACATTGATAAACATTAAATGACATCAAATAATATAGCTGAAAGAAAGAAAGAAAGAAAGACAGACAGAGAGAGAGAAAAGGAGAGAAAGAGAGGGATATAGAGATCGTGGTTTAAAGTTTCATACCTTATTCATGAATTCACGCTCTTCAAACAAGATATCGGGTAGTTTAACTCGGTTGACTTTAGCGGCTTTTCGAATAATCTTTTCGGCGGGTTCGAGTTTCTTCTTCGCCATCAGCCATCGGGCAGACTCAGGTAAGAAGCTAATTTAACGATGGAGAGAAAGAGGAAGAGAAAAAAGGAGAGAAAGAAGAAGAGAAAGAAGGAGAGAAAAAGGAGAGAAAGAAGGAGAGAAAGAAGGAGAGAAAGAAGGAGAGAAATAAGAAGAGAAAGAAGGAGAGAAATAAGGAGAGAAAATGAGAGAAAGAAGGAGAAAAAGGAGGAGAGAGAGAAGGAGAGAAAGAAGGAGAGAAATAAGGAGAGAAATAAGGAGAGAAATAAGAAGAGAAAGAAGGAGAGAAAGAAGGAGAGAAAAAGGAGAGAAAGAAGGAGAGAAAGAAGGAGAGAAAGAAGGAGAGAAATAAGGAGAGAAAGGGAGAGAAAGAAGGAGAAAAAGGAGGAGAGAGAGAAGGAGAGAAAGAAGAAGAGAAAGAAGGAGAGAAAGAAGAAGAGAAAGAAGGAGAGAAAGAAGAAGAGAAAGAAGGAGAGAAAGAAGGAGAGAAAAAGGAGAGAAAGAAGGAGAGAAAGAAGGAGAGAAATAAGGAGAGAAATAAGAAGAGAAAGAAGGAAAGAAATAAGGAGAGAAAAGGAGAGAAAGAAGGAGAAAAAGGAGGAGAGAGAGAAGGAGAGAAAGAAGGAGAGAAAGAAGGAGAGAAAGATGGAGAAAAAGAAGGAGAAAAAGAAGGAGAGAAAGAAGAAGTAGTAGAAGAAGAAAGAAGGGGAGGAGGAGTAGAAGAAGGGACACAGAAGACAGAGAATGAGGGAGGAGGAGAAGGAGGATAGAAGAGGACATTTTCAAAACAATTATCATACGTGTCATATCAAAGGTTGGAATGAAACAATAATTTTAAACTCCAATCAACATCGATCATACGAATGGTAGTTTTGATGATGTTTATTGTATAATTCCATTACAACTATTTTGTATAAACATCAATGAATTGTATTTGAACATTTTACTTTAATACAAGGGCAATAAACCTGTTGGAATTTGAGACTTCAGACAACCAGACTTTACTAGCCACTTTCTAAAATCATTCCCTTTATCTACTTACGGATAAAGCATGAAGTAAGCTAGAGAGATGAGAGAGATAAATAGCTGAAGATGGCGCCAATTTCTGATGAGATACGCAATGGCAGCTAGTAGCATATATCCGACAGAAAAATAGAGTTCTATTATCATCCCGGCCAGGTAACGCTTTGACGGACCGACCATTTCAGTACCTGTTTGAGTAAAGATCAGATCAATTACATGCGGTTGGTTACAATGCAATTTGAAACAAAGCAATGGGTGTTTATGTTTTGCATAAAATATCATCATCATCTTCGTCCTCACCGTTTCGTTCGCGTTCTGAATTCTTCTTTTTCTTCCACCCAAAACCCTTTCGTTTTGCACGTAGTACTTGTGAGCCCTATCTAGGTCCTTTTCTCCACCCTGTTTCCGTTCACACTTCATAGGCATTATCTACGGTATCTGTCCAAGGTCACTGAACTCTTCAAAGGCGCCATTTTGACCGTTTCTGGCTACTTTTAATGCCTTTCTTTGTTCCTTCGCAACTCCACTGTTTCTTCATCTATAATGTAGAAACACGGGCATCACTCTACATAAATAGTTCTTATACGATTGTAGTTCTAGTTCTTCTATTTATTGTTATAATTCATTATTATTATCATCACCGTGATTTTATTTGATTATTGATAATATCTTCATCGTGACTAAATAATGTTGATCATTGTAAAACATCCCCCCCCATGCTTTTCAATATGAGGTAGAGGTGGTAAGAACACAGTTATAGTAGTAGTAGTGGTAGTCCAGCAGCAATGACAATAATCATTATAAGAAGCGGTTGTTGCAGTAGTAGCAACAGATATGGCAAGCATTATACTTGTTCTCACCGAGGACAAACGAAGAGATGAGCGTGCCGTACATCGCAGCTCCGACCAGAAGATAGAGGATGGCGTATACCCAGACATTCGGGGAAAATGCAACGGCCGTTCCCGTAACTAGGATAAAGCCACAGGAGAAAAAGAGACTTTTCTGGCGACCGAAACTGAAGAAGATAAAAAAAATCGTTTATTGTAATTGTATTAATGATAAGTAATTATGAACTGATAAGTATTTATATAAATGGTAAATATTAGTGTTCGATCTGGCCTATAATTATCAATTGTCTGTAATCCCTTTGAAACAATATCATGGTAAAAATGCCCCATGGAACGAATCGCTTTTAACATACCCTGGTAAACAACAATAACTATGATGAGGAATAGATGACAAATTTTGATAAACTTTCCATGTCACCTTAATTTACACATTTTCGTATGCAATGCATATGATTTCTAATCAATTTCTTATCATTTTGACGATTAAAAACAACCGTAGACCCGTTCATATCATGCTTATAGGCCCACTCAATCAACCTTTCCAAATTACTTATAGCTTGTTTTTCACATGGCAAGGTAAAAACTCAACCAAATATTTTAATGAAGTTCAACACAAACTGAAGATGATAAATTAGTCTGTCATACTTACATGTCGGAGATGTGTCCAAAAACTAGAGACCCGATTAGTACACCGAGAAAATACAGAGACTGTGAGACAGACGTTAGATAACTGGAGCCACACACAAGGTCAAACTGGTGATATAAAGTCCAAAAGAAGAAACAAATAATTATTAGATCTTAGGGGAGCATGAGTTATATTGATCGGAAGTTGTACCTAACCCTAACCCTAACCCTAAACATAACCCTAAACCTAACCGTAACCCCGACCTTAATCATGACCTTAATCCTAACCCAGAACCCAACATAGTATATAACCCTAACCCTAAACATAAACCTTAAACCATAACCATAACCCTAATACGAACCTTGGACCCAATATAATAGCTAGCCCGAACCATAATCATAATCCTAAAACTAAACAACAAACAAACAAGCCGCTCTTCGTGTGAGCAGATAACTGTAAAACCCATCGATACGAATGTTGGATACGTGTTCATGAAAGTATGAAAGTTACGAAATAATAATAATAATAATAATAATACATAACATTTATTAGGCGCTTAATACTGATGTTTCTAAGCGCACAGTGTTCTGATTAAGAGAAGACTATAACCCGTAGAATTAAATTAGAAGAAAAAGCAAAAATACAAAAGTAACATAGATAAGGTAAGAAAAACAGTGGCAATCAACTAAATAAAGACAAATATGGTGCGCACCTCCATTGACCGACGCACAACTGCAATTTACAATTTGAAAAGATAGGTTTTGAGTAGAGATTTGAATTGAGATACAGAGGGGGCGCAGTGAATAAAGGCGGGCAGTTTGTTCCAGAGAGCGGGGGCAATAACTGAAAAGGCGCGGTCACCATACCGGGTGTTAGTGCGGGGTCCAGGTGTTAACAGTAATGTGGAAGATGAACGAAGTGTTCGTGACGACGTACGGGAACGTAAGGATATGAGATCGGAAAGGTAAGAGGGGGCTAAGCCATTGATAGCTTTGTAGCACAGGAGAAGAATTTTGAAGGATATGCGGTGGTGAATTTTAAGCCAATGTAGTGAGTTCAATATTGGAGTTATGTGCTCTGATTTACGCGAGAGAGTCACAAGCCGAGCAGCGCTATTCTGTACCCTTTGAAGTGGGACTAGATGTGACTGAGGGAGGCCAGAAAGAGAAGAATTACAGTAATCGATATGGGTCGAGACAAAAGCATGGACTAATTTTGAAGTTGTGGGTCGGTCAAGTAGCCTCCTGATTCTACTGATCTTATATATACCAAAGGAAGCAGACTTACAAATATTACTAATGTGTTGTTTGAAAGTAAGATTGCTGTCAATATTTAATATTTAAACCAAGGTCACGCACAGAAGCACAACAACTGAGAGAGCCATCACTCATAACAAGATCAGGAAAGGGGTCTGAGTTCCGAAATTTAGAAGCAATATGAATCATTTCAGATTTTGAATCATTAAGGCAGAGACAGTTTTGAAAAGACCAGGTTTTGATTTCATTGAGGCAACTGGTGAGTTTGTTCGCGGCTACTGTCCTGCTGTTTGGGTGAAGAGTTACATAAATCTGGGTGTCGTCTGCATACATAGTGTGTTGAATATTCTGATGAAGGTTAATAACATTTGAGAGAGGGCTGGTGTAAAGAATAAACAGGAGGGGGCGGGGGGGGGGGACTGTACAATCTACGAAGGCAACAAATGGTATTCATGAAGCGCCTTCATCACTTTGGCAGTGATTATTCTAAAATGCACAAAGTGGGACTTATCAATATTTAAAAGATGCGTGGATAATAGCCAGGAGTCACCTCCCTGATAATAGGGAGTTCATTTGTACATTTGCTATTTCCAAAGTGATTTATTGCAACCCCATGCCTATTCCAATACTTTCGCGTGGCTGGGAGCAATTGTCAATATTGTCCCGGAGGCGCATATTTTTTTTACACAACTGTTTTGCCATTTCAGTCAAATATACAGTGCAAACGACTAGAGACGGAGTCTAGCATTACCCTTTGCAGTTTTGTTGGATTGCTAGAGCTGGACATGTTTATACTCGTTATTTGTTTCGGGTTAAATCTATCCTCTCTTCTCTTTCACTATGTATTTCTGTGTTCTCCTTCACTCTATCCTCTTCTCTTTTGTCAGGTATTTCTTTTTTTCTCTTCAATCTATCCTTTTTCTCCTTCGTTAGTTTCTTTGTTTTTCCTTGAACTTTCCCCTATTCTCTTTCCTTATGTATTTATTTTGTTCTCCTTTATTCTAACCTCTTCTCTTTAGTTTTAGGTATTTCTTTGTTTCTCCTTCAATCTATCCTTTTCTCCTTCGTCATCTTTTTCTTTGTTTTAATCTGATACATTCCCTTATTTTTCCTTCTTTATCTATTTCCCCTTTCCTTAGTCTATATCCGATCCTCTTAGCTCTTCAATTATGTATTATTATGTTCTTCCTTTGACTTATCCTCTTCTCTTTCCTTATGTATTTCTTTGTTTTTCCTTCTCCATATCCTCTCCACTATCCTTGTTTTCCCCTTTCTATCATCTTCCCTTCCCTGGGTGTACGTGCGTGCGCTGACAACCTAGACTCTTTCACCAGAGCACTTCTTGGAATTTTTTTCGCGAAAATGGCTAAAAAGTTGTGTAAAAAAAATATGCGCGTCCCGGAGCATATGTCGGAGCATGCAGTGCCCAATGAAACACAGTTAATCTTTCAGTCACAAGACATATTAACTGCCCTAATGCCACGGGAATATGACCCCTGATTTTACGCCGTTGAAAAAAATATATGAAACGGAGGTGAAATTACTCAATATTCAAAGGAGGTAAATTTTGAGGGAAAAATTTCATAAAAGAAAATATTTTTCGTGGGATATGCCCTACATCCATGAATGTTTACCAGCTGAAATGTCAAAGTGATCATATTACTTTAAAGGTCCACGACTTACATCTATGACAATGGAAGACTGAAAGACACTCCTATCATATACCCATCCTGCATCACATGATACGACGTCACGTCCACTAAGGTCAAGGTCAGGACGGAAGTAGTCGATACCAGACAGGTTGTACCGCGAACATTGCGCATACGTGACGTCACCGGTCTCGGATATGTTTGACGGTATGCCAATGCTTCGCTTGAGCTCTTGACACTCTTCTGTCGTATTGTAGCCCCATTCAGTGCAATTCACCTCATCCCACTCCGGAATCTAGGCGGAAAATAGACACAAGCTTAATAAACAAGTCATTTTAGGTCTTAATCACAAATCCTGAAAGTTACGCTTTACGAGTATTGACCCTTCTTTTCTTCAAAGTGATAGGCAGGAAATTTTTCCAGGCCATAAAATGGTAAGAACAGATTATTGTTCCAGGGCATAAAATGGTCCAAACCCTTTATTTTTTATTGCATTTTATTTGATATTTATGTACCGAAATGACATACAAAAATCAAGACACCTAGACATCAATCACTAATATAATGCAATTTTACCTTGGTTCGAACATGAACTTCGTAGTAGGTTCATGGTTCGAGCCTCTGAAGTGTATCTAACGTTGGCATTCAATCAAAATCCTTTGTGTTGACATTGACTTAATGGCATTCTTTCGTACGGGAGTGTCTAATACTCAGTACTAAATAACATTGTAACCCTCTTTCTCAAATTCGGAAAATCCGGATAAAAAACTAGGAAACAATTCAAATTGGCGTTTACTTTAAATGGCTAAGATGGAGTAGGTCACTTTGGAGGCGGTGTGGAGTTAGGTGTGGCGGTTCGACTGTGCAGTAACCTGTCAGTTCTAGACAGGTATGACTCAGGTGTTCTAACATCACAACTTACCTTACACCAGTGATCAGCCGAACCGGTGATAAAGACTGAAGCCAACAGGTGAAAGGCAGTCAAGAAAGCAAAAAGACAGCATAGGTTGTACGTGCGACGCTGGTAGCGCCCAAACTCTCCAATCGTGATCATGATATCATCGAACTTCATTGCTGCAGATGATCTTTCCCCTGTCTCATTAATCACGAATTCCTCCCAATCACAAGAGAAAATAACCCAAGAACAATCTGCAAACAACCTTTGTCACAAACACAGTTGTATACTTGTTTATCCGTGTGATCGCTTTCCGAATTCACCCGCGCAGAAGATAGCGAGGCTAGCCTTGTTCTTGTTCAAATTTAACTAACTGCCTACCTCAAAAATTGAACCTGTCAAATTCCTGCGAATGTGATTATTGCCTTTAAAGCGAATCCTTTTGTTTGTTTATGCCCGTTCGTATCGCGGAATGAATCGCAAGAGAACAAAAAAGAGAAAAATAATAATACGAGAAAAGGGCTGGATAAAAGATTCAATGACCCTCATCCAGGGTCTAAGCTCCTGAGAAAGAGATCAAAGGTTGAATAAGAGCTAGACGTGAAGCTTCGGTTGGAGATGGTGCCCCATTTTTCTCTCTTTTACAATATCTCTCTTTCTCTCTCTCTCTCTCTCTCTCTATCCCTCTCTCTCTCTCTCTCTCTCTTTCTCCTTTTCTTTCTTTCTCCCCTCTCTCTTTCTTATCCCTTTCTTTTTCCATATATCTTTATTTCCAAACAAACACGACTTTAGTTTCATTTTTGCCCAACTTTGACACGTTTTACTCAGGTTTCTATTAGAGTTCAACAAATAATCCTTTCCTCCTAATTTCTTATGGTCTCTTTTATCCTTCGCTCTGTTTTTATCTATGTGTTAATGCAAATACATGTTTTTGTTTTTGAAGTTGCCAACGTACCAAACTTACCAACAACTTATTTTTCATAATGATGTACAATTATTGAACTTGGTAAAACATTTTTTTTTTTAAACTATACATTTGTTATTATTGCTTCATTCATTCGCACATATCGGACAAATAAGCCCCGTAATTATAAAGCTCCATAATTCAAGTTTCAGCTTTGATATCTCTCGCTGTAGTGTGCTGTGATATCTAAATTGTCGTAATGTGAATTTGAAAAGAAAAACAGAATAATCATTTCTTTTGTGAACATAACCGAGACGTTAGACCCCTAGAAATTAGCGGTCTATGATTTTTTTTCATATTAGGTATATGGCAGTATGTTGTCTTTAACGTTAACATTTATAGATCATCGTTTTATAGACAGTTGTCGACGTCGGCAATATATTTGAGCCGACATGTCGACAAAGAAATGTGTACCTGACGACAACACTGGTTTTTACAACTTCAATTCGATGCTTGAATGTAAATAAACAAACCAACTTAGGCATCCACAACAACAACAAAAATAAGCGAAATTAATAAAAGTATTATAATACTACTACTCTATGATAACAATACCTATCAGACAATGTTGATACATATAATCATGTCTGCATCAACGCTACACTGTAAATTCGTTGTGTAACGACTTTACAGTTGGGTAGTTCACTCCTTTAATACACAGGGGTTGTGTTAAGTTGTGTGATTTTTTTTATTGATTTTTTTAATTTTTTTTACACAACTTAACACAACCCCTGTGTAAGGAGTGAACCACCCAACTGTTGTGTAAAGTCGTTACACGACGAAATTGCAGGTTGAGTTCTGGGTAAGGTGTCAAAATAATTTGTGAATTTTGTCAGCGTGGTAGAGTATCATAGAAGAAATATCCTCTGAAAGGTAGGGTCATTCAAATGCCCTCATATACGAAATGTGATATGTTATTACTCTCAGAGCTGCTACCTATATAGCTTTAATATTTCAGTGCAATTGTGTTGGTCTGGATACCGATGAAACTATTTACCCTTGGTTTCCGAGGAATAATTATTACAACCAAACACTTGGCAGTACTCCATGTTTGACGTGTATTGTATCTAACGCGCGCAACGCGCGCTCCATCAGTTCTCCTTGCAATACGTCACAACCCGTAAGTTTTGAAGGGAATTTCGACAAAAGGGCAGCTTCCTTGGGGAGCAGACGACGTCGTAAATATGATGAAGTAGGGTCTCTTCATTGTACTTGCAATACGATATTATTTGTTCTATAGCAATGCTTTTTATATTAAATGAAACTTTGTCTTACTCTCCACGTTATCATTATATGCTTCATAGTCGAGAGGTTAGTTCCCCTAAACAATATTTCAAAATGGTAACTTGACTCAGTACATTGTATGTGTGTGTGTGTAAGTGTGCGTGTGTGTGTGTGTGCGTGTTTGTGTGCAAGTGGGTTTGTGTTTTAATGTATGAAATTTGCTCCATCTATGATATCGACGGTTAAGAGTTTCGAAATCAGAAATAAATCGATAGGTGATGTAATAGTCATTCTACCAGTGATTTATCGTAAGTATGTGAAACCTCAATGACAACTGAATAATGTATCATTTTATGAAACAAATGAGAGAATTTATTGATAATGAAACACATCAAAAATATCTGGCAAACAAATGCGAGAAAATAGGCATAATAGTTAACTAATGAGGAAAGATAAATGATGATCTTAACGTCGGGAATATGAAACAATACCTTGTCACATGAGTATTTGCAATGAGAGAGAGAGAGAGAGAGAGGCCCGAAGCTCATGAACACAATTGTCGAATTTCTTAAATTTTGCTGCTTCGTATGATCAGTTGTTTTTCAAGATGATACAAAATAATTTGCCAAAATAGGTGTTTTGCGAACAAGCTATATGTTGTGGTTCAATTCCTTTTAATTTGTCCATGTTCCTCTCTTTATTCCTAATGTGTGCTGGGGTGATTAAATGTCCTGCACATTCCCCCCACTGTGGGGGGGGGGGGTGTTATAAGTGATCCATATCTCATTTTGCGTTAAATACTCGTTTAATCAAATTTACAGCAAAACATATATACAATTTTAGTCTATAAATGGGTGAAATTACGTAAGTCGAATATCATAGAGTTTCGAATATAATGAGTTCTCATAATCTGATGCGAAGAGTCTCGGGAAAAGTCGAAAAAGTGTAGACAAATGATCTATTGCAACTGAGAAATCTTTAAACGAAAGAAAAAAATGCATACAATGAAAGACATAATATACCACATAAAAAGTCTCAATTTTAACCAAGAGCTTTGATGATATTGACTCGATAAAGGAAAGATTTCCTGGGCCTTATCGGTCTGGTTGCTATTTTTTAAAATCTGGAATCGATCTGGGTTTTTTTTCTTCCTCGGAACGCATGCAAAATTTGCGATCGTCTTAGAATATATATCAAATTGAGAACAATTCTGTATTTAATATTACAGAAAAGTCGACGACAAGATTATTTAAAGTCCTTATTTCCTTCTGTGGTGACTGACTTTTGAAGTATTTTTGAACTGCAAAATTAAAGGCCATCCACAAACTTGGGATCACAATCATACATAATAGTCTTGATGGTGGTATGGCTGTATCCGTCATAGCTTCCCTATTACAGACAGACGTCCTCCGGATTTTGACCTGGCATGTGACCTGATGGCATTGATAAAGAAAAGAAAAATGGTGATATATTGGGTTCATCATATCTAATGTCACGTTCTGTTTACATCCCCAAAGGCATACACAACTAACAAAAAGGGGGAACGGGATTGAATACATTTGCATAAATATCTTAGTTGTTTTGTTGTGGGCTTGTGTGTGGGGAATGAGTGTAGGTATGCGTGAAATAGTTGTGCGTGTTTGGGGTGAGGATATTGCGTGGGAACGTATGTGGATAGTGCAGAGGTGGGTGTGCGTGCGCGTGTGGGTGTGTGGATTTGTATGTTTTCAAATGCGCGTACAATTGCTGAAGTGAAAGATTGAGGTATACTGCATGATCAACTGGTTTCGATCCTTTTGATATAAAACCCACTTTGCCCATATGTAGCCCATATGGAACCTTGGGCATTTTGTGGTAAATCCCACATAAAACTCACTTGGCCCATCTGGTGCCCAATTTGTAACCATAGTGCATATTGTGGGGCCCATTGGGGGCTCCATCTGGGTTCCACGTGGGCCCATCTGGACTGCCCATCTAGGGCCCATATACCAGCCCAGTTGTAACCAGATAAAACCCAGATGGGCCCCACAACATTTTGCTATCTGGGCTGTACCTGCCTATGAAGCGAAAGTTGTTGGACAAGACAATTGCAATATACTAAAAAAATTACGCATTATAAAGAGATTTAAAGGAAAAAAACATGGCAAATTCTATAATAAATATGTAACCATTTAAATTTCAAATGTGCAATTTGTAATTCCAGCATAATTTATTACCTTATTTTATTACATAACGGTTTTTCCGAGTTTGCAGTAGGCTAAAATACATACCGTGCGCTTCCTTTAAATCTCGGCAGATCATTCTGTACTCGGCTGTGTTAACAAGTTTGTCAAAGGCATCGTTCCACCATGTGACGAAAGTGGGGTTGTCCTTTCTCGCCATCATGCCGAACCCGCCCAGGGCGCAACGATTCGGGAAGCTTGAGGCCGTCAGCAGCTTCAACTGGCCAAGCTGGGGCTCGGCGTAGCAGAAGGCTGCGTCAACCTGGGGTATAGAGAGGGTTGGGTGAATTCTGGCCATGGTGAAACATAATTTCTGAGCTTGTCGTTCTTCTTATGCCTATGTTACAAAGTGTGGAAGAGTATCATCGAAGAAACGTTTTCTGAAAATGATTGCTTATAATACCCCCATATTCGAGATATAACAAGAATGAGCTGAAAGGTCTCGGGCCAAACATTAATGCGTAGTCCCATATACGCACATATTTTCGTGCAGTGCATCTGACTTCAAGCAAGCTTGACAGACATTTTGATCATTAAAAAACTTTACCATATTCACAGTATAAACAATCAAACTATCCCCTATTGCATCCAGATAGTTTCTTTTACAGTTTAATTCACCTGACCAGAACTAAATTTCTTGTTTAAGCGAGAAAAAAAAATGAAATACATAATTTAGTATTTTATCTGATATATACATCATCTAATAAACGAAGCACCTAAGCGGCAAAACCTACAGATGGGGCGACAGGTACCCCTTTCTTCGCTTTCTTTTTTTTTTCTTCTCCACTTTCTCAATCAATCCCGAGACTAAAGTGTCTAAATAGAATACAACTGTTATGGTTGTTGTAGTCTAAACTTTCCAGACAAGAAGAGAGGCAGAAATTTAAGACCTTCTTTTTTTAGATATCATTGTAAGTAACTCTTACTCACATTTCCATCAATGACCGCTGCCACAAGCTCTTCCAAACTCGTATAGTAGACAATCTGGCCGGCAGATGCAGACAACTTGGAACCCTTCAGATGAAATAGAGAGAAAAGTAGAATTGAATTTTATATTTATTCCCAAATTGCTATGTCCTTTTTTAATGTAGGGGCACAAAGCGCATGTGACCGGAATATAAGTGAGCTGATAAATCGAAACATAATCCATTGAGGAAAATAAATAGGTTTTTTCCAATATAAACTGGGTTAGCAATCTGTATTTTTTATCACTGATTAATTGTCATCAAGTAGTCAGTTGGTCTATTATACCATGTATCCCATACTAGTAATTTCATGGGGGGATGTATAATTACCACCCCCCCCCCCTCCTCTCTCTCTCTCTCTCTCTCTCTCCCTCTCTCCCTCTCTCTCTCTCGTTATTATCACCATCATTATCACTTAGTTTTTATCATTATATTCCCCTGAATCTCACTCATTCCCCTCTGATCTTCTCGACCAACCCCTCCCCTTTCTCTCTCTGCCCCTTCCCTTCTCACCGTCCATCTCTTTACATTTTGTAATCTATCTTCTCTCTCTCTCTCTCTCACTAATTTCTTTTCTCCTTTTCTTACCATCTCTCTATGTTTCTTATTATCTTTTGTTTCTCTCTCTCTCTCGCCCTCCATCTCCTCTTCTCGTTCTATCTCAGAGCTTCTCTTTTTGTTTTCTCTAGAGTACCTGTATGAGATCGTCAGCATAACGTGCCAGGCAGTGCTCATCGCTCGAGAATCCGTTCATAAATCCGATAGTGCGCCCTCTCAGGTTTGTCCAGTCAAAATTCGTTGTTGTATTTGATACATAGATTCCTACTCCAGCTAGCTTGCTGTATGGCTTGGTGAATGAAAACGACCGAGATCGATCATAGGTAATTCCCCAACCTAAATAGAGAGGACAAAGTAAAATTCAATTCCTCTGATTGATACTATTTCAATGAAATATGTCAAGACGAGTAGACCCCGTAACTAAATAATCCAATGCTTTCAGATTATTTCTTCACTTTTACTCAACAGGGAGTCAGTCATGTATGATAGGTTATCTGGAGTTAAATTTTAGCACATTTAGGATGAAGTGTGAACTCAACGACAAACTGACTCTTGATACAGTTGTTCCGTCATGATGGTCTATATGATTTCTCTGCGAATGCATGTTCTCTGCTAAATATACCATAACTATAGGCTTTTTAAAATGTACTTGATATGGTAGAATATTTCCAAATTTTATTCTCTCCGCAGCAATGATGGCTCATTGGCCTCGTTTCCATGAGGCCCCGAGTTCGAATCTAAGTTGAAGCAATTGCGAAATGTTGATTATTTAGGATAAATAATTCAAGTATACCGCGATGTCTTGAAACCATCAAAATTATGAGAAAACGACTCAATCTTGTGCGGGAGAAACACAAACACGGATTTTTCTTACGAGTCCTTACGGATCGCACAAATTCATGGATCTTTCGAGGATCCTTACGATTTGGCCATGTTTACGACCGAGTTATTACGATATACTTACGGCATAATTCCACGATTTGTAGCGAGTTGTCACGGATAACTAAGAGCAACTTACGTGTTAGTAACGACCTTTTTACGTGTTGTTACGAGTTAGTTACGTGTATTTACGAGTTTTTACGATTTTTAACCATAAAGGAACATCTGAAGTGTTCAAATTTGCAGCTTTTATAGCTTTCCCCAAAAACGTAAACGATACGTAAGAATATGTACATTATACGTATATATTCGTAAAGTACTCGTAACTACACGTAAAGTGCTCGCAATAACCCGTAACAATCCGTAAAGCTATCGTTACACGACCCGAATGAAATCGTAAACAGCACGTACGTAAGCACTCGTAACAATCCGTAAATAATCCGTAAACAAATCGTAAACTAACTATAACAAAAATCACAAAAGAGTCATATACGGATTCTTGCGAGCAGTTGAAGGATGGTTACGTGTTGTTGCGAGCGGTTTACGATACTTACGGACTGTTACGAGCTATTTACGAATTATTTACGGAAAAATCAATCCGTGGACAATCGTACGAAGATTGTTTACATGTCAAAAAGTCTCCTTCACGGATCATTAAGAGTGTTTGCGAGTTGTTGCGAGTTGTGAAGAGTTATTTACGGATACCAGCGAATTATTTATACCCCCTTCACATACACGGATTTTTCTTACGAGTCCTTACGGATCGCACAAATTCACGGATCTTTCACGGATCCTCACGATTTGGCCACTTTTACGACCGGTTTAAGAGTTATTACGAGCTGTTTGCGGTTTATTACGGATCATTACGAGTTATTACGATGTATTTACGGCAACAGTCCACGATTCGTTACGAGTTGTCACGGCTAACTACGAGCAAATAACGTGTTAGTTACGATCTGTTTACGTGTTGTTTCGAATAGTTACGAGTAAGCTACAAGTTATTACGAGTCTTTACGATTTTTAGCCCAAAAATAATAACTGAAAATGAAGTGTTCGAATTTGCAGCTTTTATACCTTTCCCAAAATCGTAAACAGTTCGTAAGCATACGTAAATTATACGTATCTATTCGTAAAGTATTCGTAACTACACTTAAACCGCTCGTAATAACCCGTATCAATCCGTAAAGCCATCGTAAAATGACCCGAATAAAATCGTAAACAACACGTAAGCACACGTAACCGGCCTTAAACTGCTCGCCATAATCCGTAAATAATCCGTAAACAAATCGTAAACTAACCATAACGAATCGTTACAAAAATCTGTTACGAGTCATTTACGGATTCTTGCGAGCAGCTTACGGATGGTGACGTGTTGTTGCGAGCGGTTTACGGGTGGTTACGGATTGTTAAGAGCTATTTACGAGCTATTTACGGACAAATCAATCCGTGGACAATCGTAAGAAGATTTTTGACATGTCAAAAAATCTGCCTCTCCTTTCACGGATCCTTAAGAGTGTCTACGAGTTGTTGCGAGTTGTGACGAGTTATTTACGGATACCAGCGAGTTATTTACGGATGCTTGCGATTGACTACGAGTTGGCGATCCGTAAGGACTCGTAAGGAAAATCCGTGTATGTGAAGGGGGTAACACGGATGCTTGCTATTGACTAAGAGCTGGCGATCCGTAAGGACTTGTACAAAAAAATCCGTGTATGTGAAGGGGGTAAGATGCATGAATCACGGTCCCAACTTTTAAGCTGATTCTCGTCAAACTTCGGATATGGAATATGAAGAGGAGTTATTTCAAGGGACGTTAAATCTTATAGTTATTCCAAGAAAAATAAACATCCTGTTCGACTGACACTGATCACTTTACCAGTAACCTGCCAGCTATCAGGTTACAACAAGTTGCTGATTTCTTTTTCCTCCTTCGAAGACTGTCATGTATTTGTTGTTTACCTGTACAGGCATCGTACCATCCCCCTAGCAGTCCCTCACCACCCTTCGCTCTCTCCCCTGCCACAGACATCCAACATCGTGCAAAGTCATCGTACACCAGCTCGCAGTTCTTATTCGCTATCTTGCAAACTATGAGATGGAGAGAAAATATTAATATAGATATTAATTAATAAAGAAGTAAAAGTCAAGTTTATATCGAGGGTTCAGTGACTCAAAGACGAATCTCAATATTTTGCCAAAATGAGTATTTGATATCAAAATCTTCGGAAAAATGTGGGCTTTCCAGGAAACACAAAGACTTTACTCCAACAACACCTCATTGAAGTCAATGGCTAGTTAAACACAAAGACTTAACTCCACCAACACCCTATTGAAATCAATGGCTATAACAAAAAATCATATAAATGGTAACATTCAAGATTATATCGAGGGTTGGCCCAAGTGCTCAGTGACACATAAACCCCTTTTTCTCAAAATGGCCAAAATGGAGTTACGTCTTTGTGTTACTGACCCCTCGATATTTTGTACACGACCATGTGAAGGTTGTCCGTGATTACGTCACAATCCACTGACAATATTGCAAATTTTGAGATTCGTATTGATATAGTGATCTCATATTTCAAAAACTCATAACTCTCTCATTACTAGCCCGATTATTTCAAACTTTTGCAATTCTGTTTCTCTCATTTTCCTAGTCATAACAATGGAATTATTACAGAGGTCGGATTGCCCTTCCACGTTTCTACGTTTTTGTGTGTCTGTCAGCGTCATGACACCACATGCAGTAGCAACGTTTAAGTTAAAAATTAGTATTCTTGTTCAATATCATGATTATGGATAAAATCTTCCGGGAATACTTAAAATTAGACAAGTAATATTTACCAGCGTTGATAATGTCTACATTGTAGCCCTTTATAGTCCCAGTTGCTTCGTCTCTGTACAAGTATGAAAACAAAACAAACACATTAACACATTTAAATATATATATATATATATATATATATATATATATATATATATATATATATATATATTACAAAGTAACACACACATGAAAGGAATTAAAGGTACTATGTCCCATTTGCAGGCCAAACAAAAATGAAAAAGTTAAATTCCAACTGCATTTGAAAGATAATACTAATTTAGAACTTCCCTAAAAAAGGTGGGGCTTGAAAATGTCTTCAAGTGGGAAAATAACGACTATTAGTTGCCGAATCGACTTTAGGGCTATAGAGCCCAAAAGTAATAGTCTTGATTTTCAGACAATTGTACCGAATGGTAATACGTTTTATGCTGCGCAAAGATTCAATCAGTTTACTCTTGGCCATCACAAGAAATGGGTTATTGATGTAGACAAATGCTCATGTACCCTTTACAACTCTTTTCATGAAAGAAACTTTAGCAGCCTCCCCCTCCCACACACACACACACACACACACACACACACACAGACAGTCAGGATCCTATCAATCTTTTTGATATATAAGGGGCTTTCAACTTTTGTTTTCATCTTTTTCCTTATTCTCAGTAAAGTATCAAACAAACAAGAGATGATACATTAAGTTAAATACCGTAATCAAGTATCTTATTTGTATTTTCTTTTCTCTTTAAACTCGTGTCATATTGGCCTGCATTGAATAGCAAGTAGAGTGGCATGACTCTGGGAGTTTCAGCAATCTTTAGGTACCAAAAAGGACTAAACCCTCCAATGTATGCTATGCCTAAAACCATTTTCTTTCTTAAATCAAAGTGTCATACAAGAATCAGATATTTGCCTAAATGACTTACAAATACTCGCGGTTGATACCATAATGACCAATGGCGAAGGTCCATATTTTGTCCTTGGACCATGGGAAACCTAGATAAAATGCAGAAAGACAGAAAGTATCTAGAGTATTTGATAATGAGGAGGGTGAAGATGTGTTTTGATATACCATGTACCTGCATCATGGTGAGCTAAAAGTAAAGCGATGAGTGGTGAAGCGTTGGATACGTTTAATACGGTGTTCTTATCTGAGGAATCTCCAGAATCTACTATCAGTATAATTATTAGTATTATTATTACTATTATTATTACCAGTATTGTTATTATTATAACTTTTATTATCATTATTATCAAAATAATGAATATTGTTGTTGTCATTAATTAATATTGTTCTTGTTATTAATTCATTTTCATTGTTAGTAGTTATTCATTAAACTATTTATTTATCTAATTAGTTTCATATCTGTTTCCGTTAATTATGATGTTTTTAGTTAAATGGTTGAATAACATCTTTAAATGTAATTTCTACGCTGTTCGCACATAAAAACCTTTATTGTGTTCTGTGAACGTTGAACATTGTTCAACAAAGATTGGATTACGAAAAGAAAGTTAATAACGTACCCGGCCCATTGAACTCCTGTTCGTATTCAACCTCGAAGTGCCCTGGCTTTGCGAGGCTAACCAGGGCTAGAATCAACGCCCCAACGGCGACCACGACTACGACGACGATGACGATGTCCTTCGCTCGTCGGCAACCATCATTGGGGTGCGACCTCTTCCTGGTGAAGTTATCGTCGCATTCGAGTCGCTGGCATGGGATATCGGAGAGAGCTGTAGTAGACATCTTTAATCCTCACGGCACCATTGACATGTGCAGGAATGATTTACAATGGCAACACTCTTGAACCTCTAATGCCCTTCCGAAGCAGCAATGGTGCGGGAAAGAGTTATCATTACAACGGGGGAAACAGGAACACATGCATCTGACCTATGCGCTTTTGGATAAACACTTTTTTCGTATAACAATGATTTTTTTTTTTCTTCACGGAAATCTGTCAGTGTTATCTGAACGATATATTTATCATGTTCATCAAATTATCCGACCAAGTCAATAGTTTATGTATCTAAACGCAAATGTTATACTTATAACATGATGGATGACCACCCCCTCCCCCGCCTCTCCCCCTCACACCTCCCCGATCCCGATCGAGAGGATTCCAACCCGATTCCAACCCCTTCCCCATCTTTCGGAGAAAATATCCCCCTTCTTTCTCTCTCTCTCTCTCTCTCTCTCTCTCTCTCTTGATTGATTGATTGATTGTCAATGCTTACCCTCACTTATTGTTGCTTACCTAAACATGCTGATAGTAACAGTTTTTTTTTCCTTGAAATAAATTTTGCACTCCCGTTCAGTAATGTCCCTCGGTCATGTGAATCCATTTATAACCTTTAAAATTTCAGGTTTGCATTAAACTAATTCGATTAAAATGTAATAATAATTACAAAGATACCGCCTCGCTATCTGAAAACGAGTTAACGTTTTTGAATATTGGTAGCTTCTAAGTTCCAGGGAGATGTACACCCCTCCCCTCCTTTATCCGCCTTTCCCCCTAATCATGTCTGTCCCCTCATTATTTTACTTCTTTAGCTGCCACTATCCGGATCATCCTGTTTGAAATACTCTGGATTTCCGTTTAATATTTTGTTGATGCTCAAGTCCTACACATGAGACTCTGCGTGCTTCAACTTTCCGAATGACCTAATTAGTCAAGAAACCACAAACTCCACAAACAAACAAACGAAAATCAAATTATAACAAACAAAAAAGAAACCAAGCGAAGATTAAATTGACAAGCAGAATGCTATCAAAGGGCTATCATAATGGTTAGTTCTGTTTTTGTTTTTTTCTAGCCATCCATTTATTTTAAACCCCTATTTTATAATTCGATGTGTATAACGCTTGGGACTCTTGGGGCACGTTCTGAATACAATGGGGGTTAAAGAGCATGTGCAGGAAGGATATAACGGTGTCCTCGAAGTGTTATCTTTGTCAGTCGAGACGATAAAAATAGAAAATGAACTCGCATTAGTTAACATCAAACCGGGGTTACAGTTTAAAACAATCACATCATAGGGTCACTAACCACTTCTAAAAAAGTGAATTGTACATACACATGCTCACATGTTTTTATACTTAAACCTCATCTTAAATGCAATCTTATATTTTATATGTATTCCGATGTTTTCGTTTTCATATTTCTTTGTAGTTTAATGTTTCCATTGAATACCTTTTTCAAGTACCTTAATTGTAACAAAAGTATCTGCCTTGAGCTGCGTGTATTGTTATTTCTAATGAAAGCAATTCGATTTCAGTTCAATTGCATTTACTTTTATCTTCCTCTTCGTTTTCTCATCACCCCACCCCCTTCTCTCTCTCTCTCTCTCTCTCTCTCTCCCTCTCTCTCTCTCTCTCTCTCTCTCTCTCTCTATCTATCTCTATCCCCCCTCTCTCTCTCCCTTACTGACCCTCTTTATCTGTAGTTTACAACATGTACCATTCTTTGAAAATAAAATAAAATACAGAATAGAGGGAATGATTGTAACGTGTTTCAGAAAATAAGTTGTTGATTTGTTCCCCCTTTTTATTAGCCACTCGCTTAGAAGTCGTAAGGACACATTTCATAATTCACTTTGATCAACTAACTCACTGTACACCTTTTCGCAATATATACAGCACTGACGATACATTATAATACTAGCACGAACATTATGTAGACATGCATCATCATGATGAACATAAACAATGTACTCTATTTTCTGTATCAGATTTGCTGATAATTGCCCACGCGCTGTGAATGCAATCCAGCACTACTTTGATAAAAGTTTCATCCAGTTTGCTTACTAAAACTGTCAACTTTTTTCCTTAAAATTATTTCTATTTAATTATTCATTTGCGCTTAAAAAACACGACCGATACTTAGATACAAATAAAATTTGCCATAGAGTTAAATCCCATATTCAGTGAAAAACTGCATATACAACCTACTAAATGTTTAAAGAAGAAAAATGCATTAACAAATAAAGAATATCGCTTGGCTATGCACAGTGCTGAACAACTTCCGCTTTAGGTTATCTAATGAAATTTATTTAACTAACATCAAGTAAGATAATCATCATTAAGAAAAGCTAAAACAAATTAATATTTTGTTGCTTCATTATTTTCATACATTATTAAATCACCCAGCAGATCTGTGCAAATGGGTGTAATTGTCATAGGAACAATATGTCAACTTCCAATGTCAATTATCAAGATTATCGTAGAAATTTAACGTAGCTTAAGGCCCGGTCCCACTGGCCGATGAACACAAAACGTATGCATAAAGGACACAGCGGACGAGCAAAATTTCGGGGGTGGCTCCATTCGTTTTCATCCGCTCCAGAAATGGACAAATTTGGCGAAAACAGAACGGAAAATAACGGACGTGGGTAGTATGTAGCGGGGATGTTAAACGGATGTTCTTTGGAAGCCTAGCGGATGAAAGCGGATGGAAGTGGATGACAGCTTTGAATACTTTATATACGAGATGCATACGCTTACATCCTTTCTATTTCCGTGCTACTAACGATGTATAGACGTTCCATGTACCTTATCTTTCCTCCCTCTTTCCGTTTTCAGCTGCAGCGGATGTGAGTTGCGATGATGCACAGGGGATGCAGAGAGGATACAGCGGACATTTAACGGATGATAACGGACATAGAACGTTTGTTGCTCGTATTTGTCGCGGATTTACATCGTATACGGCGGAAGTTCATCCGTTCTGAAAGTTTTGTGCAGCTCAAAACTTTTTGCGCGGATGAAATCACAGTGGACGGATGCTGGATGGATAGAGCGTATGAAACATGTATGCAATGAGTACACAACGGATGCATAGCGTTTTCCAACGGATGGCAAGATTTGTTTACGTTTTACATCCTCTTTGCATCCGTAAGTGCAGTGGGACCGGGCCTTTACCATGAAGATATCAACAATGCGATGTAGAAAAAGCAGATAACATAGAGGCAAATTCACTCTTTCTTTAATGAAAGCAAACATTATTTCATTTGTTTTGTTTATCGAAATGTTAAAACGACGGCAAAGATTAATTCAGAAAGTGAATGTTGTATCGTGTGTCAGAACGAGTTTCATTGATGTCAGAACACTGAAATGCATGATTTAAAAATGAGTCATTCATGTTGATGTCCCTTGTTTAATAACTGTGTATTTACCTCTTTTTACAAAGAACAATATCAAACAATTATCACAGAATTGAATAAATATGGTACTGTATTTAGCCTAAATATTCATAATTAGAGATGACATTCGACAAAGTTATTTGGGAACAAAGCTGTTTACCATTCATACATTCGTTCATTGAGTTATTTAGTTTAGTCGTTTTATTTAAACATTTCTTTATTCATTCGTTCATTTATTAAGTTATTTATTCATTTACTTGTTTTTATTCATTGATATCATTATTTTTTCATTTTGTATTCATTCATTCATTCATGCGTCCATTTGTTTGTTTGTGTGTACGGTAATCAGTCTCGTCGATTTGACTGAGGTTTATCGTAAACGGCAGCTTAGAGTCGTAAGACCCGTAACCCGTACTCATGTATTTTCTATTTTCATCTTCGAGAAATTTAGCAGATCTGCACTGTTATGCACTTGGGAATGTGAATTCAAAAGATGATACGGATACAAATAAATCAAATTGAATCAAATCAGCCAAAATCAAATCCAATTACAGATCCACCAGTATGAAAAGCAAAATAATCATTCATAAATGTTTCGCGGAAAACTCTGCTTTCCCTTGATCCAGATGGTAATCTCTGCAAACAAAAACAATAAAAAGGAGAAGAATGAGGAAAACGGACAAATTTGTTCGAAAAAGTATTTTTACTTATTTTTTTCCCTCATTTTTGAGTGAATTCAATTGTATATGTGAAACGAGATAGATGTAACAAAACACATCAATTATATAAGCAGTCTCCTGGGTCAGAATGATCCCTTTCTGTTTGATGGCTCTCTTTAAGATTTAACATTGATTTTGTAATACAAAATGTTAAAGCTAATACTTTGGTAGCAAAAAGGAAATTGAAAAGAAACGTGTTAAAGATAGTCTCGTTTCAGATCATCTGGTATGCATTTAATGAATTCCGGTGAATTTAAGTGTAACTATGGGCACGGAACGCCAGATAACGGCTTTGTATTCCCATACGCTAAAGACCCGCCCATCTTGATGGCTTCTGGCACATTGATCGTGGATATTCTCATGGATTCAGCGTGTGTGGAGACTATAGCGTAAACTCGAATTTACTTCCCAGGATTGTATCTGATTATATTTTCCTACCATTTATTTGTTTAATATATCACTTGAGGAGAGAAAAAGCCTCTACAGCAGCTAAGTATTAATAGTATCTTCCTATAATATCCAGTTAAAGAAATCTGACGATAACTTCTTGAGGGCTTACCAAAACTGCACATGATCTTTCAGTTTGCAGAACGTTATGATTATGTTTATGCGAATTCACCCTTCTGTATTCCATC